TCTCTCTCTCTCTCTCTCTCTCTCTTTCTTTATCTTTCTCTCTCTCTTTCTTTCTTTTTGTTGTTTGTTTGTTGGTTTTTTTTTTTTTTGAGACAAAGTTTCTCTGTGTATAGCCTAGCTATCCTGGATCCTGGGACTAGCTCTTGTAGACCAGGCTGGCCTCGAACTCAGAGATCTGCCTGCCTCTGCCTCTCAAGTGCTTGGATTGAGGGCCTGTGCCACCACCACCCAGCTTGGTAGAGTTCTTGCCTAGCATGTTCAGACCCAGATTCAATCCCTAGAACTGAAAAAAAAAATTCAAAATCTCTCTCTCTCTCTCTCTCTCTCTCTCTCTCTCTCTCTCTGTGTGTGTGTGTGTGTGTGTGTGTGTGTATGTGATGTGACAGGGTCTGTCTGCTTGCTTCTCTGTCTAGACTGGATGGCTAGCAAACTCCAGACAAATACAAAGTATTGTGCAGTAAACAAAACAAAGTACTCACGATTGTGCAGTAAACACTTTGCCAGTTGAACCATTCTCTAGCCTTATTTCAAACCTTTTACTAGGACTTGGCCATCAAAACAGAGTGCTGATGGACAATGCTGACAGGCAGTTCCTGTCCTTGCTAGGAGGTGCTGAAAGATGTCTCTGGGTTTGACTGCTATCCCCGGTGCCAGCACAACCCCCACTGTTTTCGGGTAGATAGGAGAGAAGACTATTAGACAGCATCATCAGAGGAGGTGGCAATGCCTTTAAAGTTCTTTGTCCAATCAGTTTTCTGTTGTTAACTTTTTTCTTTTTCCCTGAGACTTTGGAGCCTGTCTAGGAACTAACTCTCATAGAGAGTGCTAGCTCTTATAGACCAGGACAGCTCTAAAACTATAGCAAAACCCTGTCTTGAAAAACCAAAACCAACCAACCAACCAACCAACCAACAAAACCCGCAATCCCTTAGGATCGATCATGTCCTCTTATTTCTGTTTTTTTTTTTTTTCCAATTATCTGGTGCTGAAATCTTTAGGACACAACTGCTTCTAACGGGTTGAGGTTCTTTTTTAAAAAATTTATTATGTATACAGTGTTCTGTCTGCTTGTATGCCTGTAAGCCAGAAGAGGGCACCAGATCTCATTACAGATGGTTGTGAGCCACCATGTGGTTGCTGGCAATTGAACTCAGGACCTCTGGATTAGTAGCCAGGGCTCTCTCTTCCACCCGAGGTTCTTATAAGGGAGAGCACAGGCAGAGAGGCAGAGACATCTGAGAGCGTCCAGAGTGAACATGACCAGCCAGCCGAATGAACCCAGCCATGCGAGGAGAGAGGGGAACAAGAAGCCAAGAGGCCAGGAGAGTGGGAACCAAGACCTAGTGGCCAAGAGATAAAAAAAGGACTGCATAACGAAAATGGTTGAATTATGCAGGGAGTAGCAGCTAGGGAAAAGACAGTGAGCTGGAGAGGTTGAGGTGGGGGTGGGGTGAGAAGTTCTGTGGAACCTGGACTGAGTCCCCTTTGATATGTTAAATAGGCATATCAGGTGGCCGTTTGTCCTGGGGTTTGAGACCTAACACTTTCTCATAGAAACTTTCTATACAAATAAACACAAATGTCTATACCAAGTGTAGCTAGGAAAATGTAAAGTTTACAAAGCTTATAAATCTCTTAAGTTTGAGGCCAGCTTGAGTAATATGGGACTTTGTCTAAAAATAAAATAAGCTGGTTGTGGTGGCACAAACCTTTGAATCTAGCTCATGGGAGGCAGAGGCAGACAAACTTCTATAAGTTCTAGGCCAAGAGCTCCACATCTCCCCCTCCCCTCAATCTCAGAGAACATTAAAAATGCATTCAAGGAAGAAACATAAATGTTTAAGCAATCAAGGTATACACAAAGAATACTTGGCTTGATTTGGTGGTGCACACCAGAAAGCAAGAATCGGGAGTACCAAAGCCAGACCCTGCTACTTACCAGCTATGAGGCCTCCTTAGACATCTGAGATGATGTCTCAAAATTAACGCAAAGTCAGGCCCAGAGTGGAGGTGCATGTCTTTAATTCCAGTACTGGGCAGGCAGAGGCAGGCAGATCTGTAGTTCCTGTGCCATCCCATCAGTGCCAAGAGAGCTCTTTAAACCTAAAACCTGAACTAATAATTTGGATGCATGCCGGCTCAAACCTATAATTGCAATCACTAGTGGAGAGTGGAGGAGCGAGCCACAGAGTTTTAGGTCAGCCTGAGTGATTGTGTGGGATCCTGACTCACAAATAGCATACTACCAGCAAGACTCTATTAAGTTCATGTGTGAAGCAAGAGTTGTAACTCTAATTAAGTTTTCTAACTGTATAATCTATTTTTTTTAAATGTTTATGGTTTATTTTTATGTGCATTGGTGTTTCGCCTAGATGTATATCTGTGTAAGGTGTCTGATTCCCTGGAGGTGTAATTGTTACAAACAGATGTGAGTTGCTTGTGGGTGCTCTGGAGAACAGCTGCTCTTGCCCTCTGAGCCCTGTCTTTCCAGTCACATAACTTCCTATCCTTGTACTTCCTGACCAGGATCTGCCACTGTAGAGTTCCAGCACCCTACCTCTGGTGGGTGTGCAGATACAGCACTGAAGCACTCTTGAATCATGGAGGTCAAGGTTTTTCTGCAAAGTAAAACAATCCTCTTTTCCCCATTTTTTTCCCTTTTATGTTTGAGAGCAATCATTTTTTTTTACCAATTTTTTTTTAAAGATTTATTTATTATGTTTATGGTGCTCTGTCTGCATGTGTGTCTGCAGGCCAGAAGAGGGCACCAGATTTCATTACAGATGGTTGTGAATCACCATGTGGTTGCTGGGAATTGAACTCAGGACCTCTGGAAGAGCAGTCAGTGCTCTTAACCTGTGAGCCATCTCTCCAGCCCTGCAATCATTATATTATTATTATTTTTCTTTTCCTTTTTTCTTTTTGGTTTTTAGAGTCAGGATTTTTCTGTGTTGCTTTGGAGCCTGTCCTGGAACTAGAATTTTACTCCTGGGTGGTGGTGGAGTACACCTTTAATCCCAGAATTCAGGAGACAGAGGCAAGTGGATCTCAGTGAGTTAGAGGCCAGCCTGGTCTACCTGTTTAAAAAAAACACGATTTTAATCCACCAAAAAAAGTGTAATGCAATAGAAATTCTCCTTAGGGAACCACAGCTGTTATTTCCTGTACCGAGTGCAAATGTGCTTAGATCTAGTTATTCTGAGTCTCATTTTCTTCTCTTTTTGTAGAAATTTGACATTTGTGATGGCAAAACATTTTTTTTTCCAATTTATTTTATTTGCATAAGTGTTTTGCCTGCATGTGTGTCTGTGAGAGGGTGTCAGAAGCCCTAGAATTGCCATGTGGGTGCTGGGAACTGAACCTGGGTCCTGTGGCTGAGGAGCCAGTGGTCTTAACCACTGAGTGATCTCAATCTTAGGTGTAGTACATCCCAGCGTTTTCATCCAGCAGCCGTTCAACTTTTCAGGATAATCTATCCTTGTATAAAACTTGCACAGTTCATCCAATCAAGCCAATTTTTCTGTTTTTAGTTAGGGTCTCACTAAGTAACACTGGCTCTTCTCCCTCAGCCTCCCGAGTGCTTAAAGGTGTGCTCTAGCAGGTCAGGTTCAAACTTGAATTTTGTTCGAGACAGGTTTTTTTGGTGAAATGGAGCCTTGACTGTCCTGGACTTGATTTGAATAACTCGCAGAGATCCAACTGCCTCTGCTTCCTGAGTACTGGGATTAAAGGCGTATGCCACTACCGCCAGGCTCAAACTGACTTTTAATACCTTTCTTTTTATTTTATTATTTATTTATTTGGTTTTTCGAGACAGGGTTTTTCTGTAGCTTTGGAGCCTGTCCTGGAACTAGCTCTTGTATACCAGGTTGGCCTAGAACTCACAAAGATCCGTCTGTCTCTGCTTCCAGAGTGCTGGGATTAAAAGAATGTGCCACCAACGCCTGGTTTTTAATACCTTCCTTAAAAGGTCTTCAAGAATCTGGATTTAAGTAAACCATTCAGATGACTAAATCCCATTTCCAACCATTATTAACTCCATATATCATTTGCGTCTACTTCAGTCGTTGTTCAATTGACATTTAAATTTATTTAAAAGACCGTGAAAGGGAGGAGTGGTGGCACAGACCTTTAATCCCTAGCACTCAGGCTCAGGCAGAGGCATTCCAGCTTTTTTTGAGTTCCAGTCAGGGCTACACAGGGAGATCCCATCTGAAAAATAAAAACTAAAAGCATGTAGAAAATTTAAAGTATTAAAATACAGATGTTAATTGTAAAAACAAAGATCCAGGAAAAACGTTCACGCGTGTAATCCCAGCAATAGGGAAGCTGGGGCTGAATCCCGCAATATTGAGGCCAGCCTGGGCTACAGGGTGACTCCGCTTTGGCGCTCTGCACTAACTTTTCTCCCCCTAAACTAACTTCTATGAATCTGGGATTCCACGCTTGTAAAATCGCAGTGAAGACAGTGTTAAATTTCTTGTTGTGCCTGCCTCTGCTCCCGAGAGCTGGGATTACAGGCATGTGCCACCACCACCCGCCCCAGAGGTTAATCCCGAGGACAGAGAAAATACGGAATGCCTGGCACTTAGTAACAAGCTTTGTTTAAACGTTCAGACTTCCGTTGTAAGAGCCCCAACGTTCAACTGTCCCTTGTTCAAAAAAGATTCTCAAAACCCAAAGACTTCTTAGAAGCGTGCTAAAACGCGTCTCCACCCGAACCTGGCAGTAATTCCCCCACGAATTATCAGTTAGGTTTAAGTTTTAAAGGTGAGCCCCGCAACTTCCGCTTTCATAAAGCCTCTCTCAGAAGGGGGGGGGGGAAGAGTTGTAAACGTCTCGCGAGAGTCTAACGGGACGCGTGTGGGGCTTGGGCCCTGCTCTCGCGTTGTCTGGCGAAGTAATGGATGGCGGTGAAAAGGAAGCGCGAAGTATCGCGGGAGCCTAAGGACCTCTCGCGAGATTTTGGGCGTTCGCCCCTCCCCCTCCGCCAAGTGCCGTTTCGGTTTAATCTAGTGTGTGACTGAGTCTGGGTGAGGGAGCGAGATGTGTATGTGAGGTGTTGGGGTGAGGCGGAGGCTAGAGAAGGGGCTCCCTCGGGAACGAGGGACAAAGCGGGAGGTCAGGCTACCCAGGCCGCCGAGCCCGGGCGCCGAGCCGGGCTACCGGGTAGAGGAAGGGCCCACGCAGTCCTCCCGGGGCGCTAGAGCCGGAGTCGGCCCCTCAGGCTCGGGCGCTCGGCTTCCTGCTTCCTTGCGGTCCCGGGCTCGCGGGCCTGAAGATCGGCTCGGCGCGGGTGGGCGGCGGCGGCGAGCAGACTCGAGTTGCTGCGGGTGTCTCGTTCCTTCCACCGCTGAGGAACTCTCATTTCTTCCCTCGCTCCTTCTCCCCCCCTCATGTAGGAGGGCGCTGAGGAGGCGAGAGGGAGGAGGAGCCTGGCCTGCGGTCCCTTCCCTCCCCACCCCCTTTTAGGGGTTCCTTGGTGGGCGTGGAGTCGGGGTCGGGGGGGAGGGTGGGGCATTTTGGAGTGCTGGGGAACTTTTTCCCCTTCTTCAGGCTCGGGGAAAGGGAATGCCCAATTCCGAGAGACATGGGGGTAAGAAGGACGGGAGCGGAGGAGCTTCTGGAACTTCGCAGCCGTCATCGGGAGGTGGCAGCTCCAACAGCAGGGAGCGTCACCGCCTGGTGTCGAAGCACAAGCGGCATAAGTCCAAACACTCCAAAGATACGGGGTTGGTGACCCCCGAAGCAGCATCTTTGGGCACAGTAATCAAACCTTTGGTGGAGTATGATGACATCAGCTCGGATTCAGACACCTTCTCGGATGACATGTCCTTCAAATTAGACAGGAGGGAGAATGATGAGCGTCGTGGAACGGATCGGAGTGACCGCTTGCACAGACATCGTCACCACCAGCACCGGCGGTCTCGAGACTTGCTAAGAACTAAACAGACTGAGAAAGAAAAAAACCAGGAAGTCTCCAAATCTGGGTCCACGAAGGACCGGATATCAGGAAGTTCAAAGCGTTCAGCGGAGGGGAGTGATGACTATGGGAAGGCACAAATATCCAAAAGCAGCAGCAAGGAATCCAGGTCATCCAAACTCCACAAGGAGAAGATCCGGAAAGAACGTGAGTTGAAGTCCGGGCACAAGGACCGGAGTAAAAGTCATCGGAAAAGGGAAACACCCAAAAGTTACAAAACGGTGGATAGCCCCAAACGGAGATCCAGGAGTCCGCATAGGAAATGGTCTGACAGTTCCAAGCAAGATGACAGTCCTTCAGGAGCGTCTTATGGCCAAGACTACGACCTTAGCCCCCCAAGGTCTCACACTTCTAGCAATTATGACTCTTACAAGAAGAGTCCTGGGAGTACCTCAAGAAGGCAGTCAGTCAGCCCACCTTACAAAGAGCCTGCCGCTTACCAGTCCAGTGCTCGCTCACCCAGCCCCTACAGTAGACGACAGAGGTCTGTGAGTCCCTATAGCCGGAGACGGTCATCCAGCTACGAAAGGAGCGGCTCTTACAGCGGGAGATCACCCAGTCCCTACGGTCGAAGGCGATCTAGCAGCCCTTTCTTGAGCAAGAGGTCTCTGAGTCGGAGTCCGATCACCAGGTGAGCTGTTACCTGTCTTTCCTAAGGTCGGGTGGGATGGGGGCGCTTGGCAATTTGTCCTTATAACGTTTTGTTAAAGTTTGCAGTGTTCGTCTTTGGCTAGGGTGGCTAGTAATTTAGGTAAGTCTGGCTTTTCCCTTAACCCAGAGTTGAGAAGTAAAGATTTCACATGCCTCCAGCTGCTCAAGCAAGGTAGGTAGGTACTTTGCGGTAATGGGAAGCTTCAGTTGTAAGAAATGCATTTGCCTAAGGAGTGCATGGTCTCCAAACTTATTTAGAGCCACTTGTTGCTTTGTCTTAACTTTGTAAGTCATATTGATAACAGTGTTTAAACTCTATTGAAATTAAGAAGAAAAACGAGAAATTACAAATTTTCATTAAACATTTTATTTAATTTTATGTGCATTGGTGTGAGGATATCATATTCCCTGGAACTTAAGTTAAGACAATTGTGAGCTGCCATGTAGGTGGTGGGAATTGAACCTAGGTCCTCTGGTAGAACAGTCGGTGCTCTTAACCTTAAGCTGAGCCATCTCTCCAACCCCATAAATTTGCATTTCTACTATTTTGAGTCCGTTTGCCTATTTTCCTACCAATTTTGTCTTCTGGGTTACCAAATCTAATTAGTTATATCTTACTGAAAATCCCTATCTTGTAACTGTTTAGTAAAAATTGAGTTAATGAGGGTGTTTTCTTTTTGACATATAGCCTAGCAGAAAGTGGTTCCAAAAACAGTTTGAATTTTTTTTCTAGCACCACTGTTGACTTATTTTAACACTAGTACTTTTTTTTAAAAAAAGATTTTGTCTTTTTTATTACATATATGAGCGTTTTATTTCCATCCATGTTTGTGTACATGCATCTATGGTATCCTCAGGCCAGAAGAGGGTGTGGAGTCTCCTGTTTCTGGAGTTACAGACAGTTGTGAGCTGCCATGTGGGTGCTGGGATTTGAACCCGGGTGCTCTGGAAGAGCATTCAGTGCTCTTAACCCTGAGCCATCTCTCTCCAGCCCAACACTAACACTTTTTAAAGCTTTCCTTGAAATATATGGTAGTAATTGCCTTTAGCTTGATAATTTTATAATAAAGATGTGTTAATTTGAAATTACCTATGGAAAATTATGTTTTTGTTTCAAGTCTGAACCCATCTCTTTCCACAATAACAATAGTAGCTTTAGTGTTTTTGGTTTTTCGAGACAGGGTTTCTCTGTAACAGTCCTGGCTGTCCTGGAACTCACTCTTTAGACCAGGCTGGCCTGGAACTCACAGAGATCCACCTGCCTCTGCCTCCTGCGTGCTGGAATTGAAGGCATGTGCTAACACTTTCCGGCAGGAGCTTTAGTTTTATCTGTGTGGAATCTTAATATTTCTTTGTAACCATTGGCAAATGATTAATTTGTCCATACCTAAGTTTCTTTATTTGGAAAATAGGAGTACCTGCTTCAAGGCTGTTTGAAGATTAATAAATATGAAGCATGTTAATGTATCTTGTACCTACAATGTACATTTTATGAGTGAAAATCACAGGTAAAGATTAATTCATGCATATGCTTTATAAGTCAGAGTATATTTCACAGTCTTAAAGGTAATTACAACTAAAGTGTATTTGCCTAACTACAGTGCTTAAATTTTCTTAGTATTTTCTCATTCTGGTACTAAAAAAAAAATTCAAACATAGGTTGAAAGAATTATGATAAACATGCAGATATCTAACACCTAAATTCTGCAATTAACATATTGTCACGTCTGTTTATCTTCATTGTTTCATCTTTTGTTTAGGTTCATCTCAAAATTGTAGCAAACAGCATACTTTTATAAACATTTACCATGCAAATCATTTCTTAGAGTTCATAATTTTTTGGAAAGGTATGATTTATATCTACTGGAATACGTAACTGATAAATGTACCATTTGTAATGTTGCATAGTCATGAAAGGGAATCTAAGAAGTAGTCTCAGAATTTTGTGTTTTTTTAGACAGGGTTTCATGCTGTAACCTAGGGATGGCCTGAAATTGCTGTGTATCTTATGCTGGTATGAAACTGGCCTGAAATTTCCAGCAATCCTACCTAAACCTCTGACTGTTGGGATTACAAACATTAGTTATAAAATTAGGCAGAATATTTGTTTTCTTGAGAGTATTAACATTAAGGTTATTTGAAAAATGTTTTACTCTTGAGTTTAGAAATTTAAAGGGTTAAAACAGAATTTTGGGTGAGAGTTTTTGTTTTGAAATCATTCTTTTTAGATTCTTAGAAAACAGCAGATAACATGTTCTCCTAAGTGGACTGAGAAAGTTGTATTCCTTAATTGAAATTAATGTAGTGATGGCAGATATAAACCTAGTAGTGTGTGGATACAGTATGCTGGTGGGGGATGCAAGTATAAGCATAAAATATTGGAAACATGCACTTTTTGTTGTGTTGTAGAGAGCATTATTTATATTCATCCATTATATAATTTTGTTCATTGGAATTCTCAATAGTAAGTAACAAAAAAAATTATAGAGTGTGGAACCTGAGCAGTCTGGCACACATCCATAAGTTCAGTGTTTTGAGAAACTGTAGCAAGAGAATTTTGAAACCTTATCTCAAAAAGACTAAACAATGGGATGACAAGATGGCTCTTTACCTGAGTTTGAGTCTCAGAACCTCATGTAAGGTGGAGGGAGAGAACTGACTTCAGAGTTATCCTCCAACATCCATAGATCATATACATGCATAATAATAATAAAAATCTATTTCTTTCTTTTCTTCCTCCCTTGCTTCCTTTCTTTATTTCTTTATTTTTTCTTTTCGCAATAGAGTTACTCTGTGTAGCTCTGGCTGTTCTAGAACTCACTCTGTAGACCAGACTGGCCTCAAAATCAGACTCTGACTCTGCTTCTCTAGTGCTGGGATTAAAGGTGTGCTCTACCACTGCCCCACCAAATTTATTTATTTTTGAGATAGGTCTTATGTAGCCATGGCCAACCTACAATTTTTTATATAGACCAGACTGGCCTAGAACTCAGAGATCCACCTACCTCTTGCCTCCATAGTGCTATTAAAGACTTGTGCTATCATGCTGACATAAGAAGAATTGAAAAGGCTCCTTTCCCTTTAAAAAGAGGGCTGGTGATATAATTCAGTTTACATAGAATGCTTAAGGCCCTATATTTAATTTTTTATTTTTTCAAGAGAGGTCTTCTCTGTGTAGCTTTGGCTGTCCTGGCACTCTGTGATAGATTCTTCATTTGGGAAAAATAGACTGGGAAAAAAACACCATTTTGGTTGTGGATCAGTGCTTGGGAATGAACTCAGGCATTTTTGCATGTTAAACAAGTGCTCACTATGTAGATCAGGCTGGCTTAGAACTCAGAGGTTTCACCTGCTTGTGATTCTCTATAGACACTATAGTGTGTCACTAAAGGTGTTTGCCATAACACCCAGGCTTGGCACCTCTTATTTATTTGGCACAGGGTCTCATTATGCAGCCCTAGTTGGCTGTAGACCAGGCTGTCTCAAATGCCTGCCTACCTCTTCTTCCCAAGTGCTGTGACTAAAGGCTTCATGCCTCGCTTTAGTCAATTTTAGTAGTTTGGATTGATTTTCTTCACACCGAATCTTGAGCAGCATAACATAAAAACGTAATTAATGACACTTTAAAATAATCTGTTCTGTAGATTTCCAGATTTTATTTCACAGTCATTCTTCATAATTTTTTTTTGTTGTTGTTGTTGGACTGGAAAAATGGCTTAGCAGTTAAGAATATTGATTGTAGCTGGGAAGAGTTTGAAGCCAGCCTGGTCTCCATATCAAATTTCAGGCCAGCCGGGGCTACATAGAAAGATCCCATTTCAAAAACAAAACAAACTAGTAAGTTTATCTGTACATGTAGTAATTTCTTGTTTTATGTGTCCTAAAAAGTTGATTGGAAATTATTTTTGTATTAAAGGAACTAAGTAAGACCTTTAATATCAGCACTCAGGAGATGAAGACACAACTTTGTAATAAGCTGAGGCTGTCAGTAGTACCCTAGTTAAAGGGTTAGAAGTTGGGCTAATGTGTTGAATCAGTGGTTAGGAGCACTGGTTGTTCTTCAGGAGGAAGATTCCCAGCACCCATACAGTGACTCACAAACATCTCTAAATCTAGTCCCAGAGATTCTCATGCTCTTCTCTGAACTCTGTGGACGGTGGACACAGACATGGTGCTCTTACATAAATAAAGGCAAAGATTTATAAAAAAAAATTTTCTTAAAGTAAGCTTTGTGAACATGACTACATAGTGGGCAATATTGATGCTTTCGTTTTTAAATTTTTTTTTTTTCTATTTTCAAGACAAGGTTTCTTTGTTAGCCTTGTCTGTCATAGAATTAACTCTTGTAGACCAGGCTTGCTTTGAACTTAGATTCCTGTTTCTGCCTCCCAAAATGAGATTACAAATAGAAGCCAAGTCCTAGCCAAATGAATTTTTAGTTTTACTTAATTAAAATGTGTATATTCATGTAAGATTTAGAATCTTTGAATTTTCTTTTTTATTTTTAGATAATAGTCTCAAGTAGCCCAGGCTGGTTTTGAGTTTGCTTGTATAACAGAGGATGACTTTGATTTTTTTCTTTTTTAAAATCTTTAAAATTTTATGTGTTTGCATGCATGTATGTATGTGTACCATGTGCATGCCGGGTGTTCAAGGAAATAAGATGTGACTGTTGGATGATTTGAGCTACCAAGTAGATGTTGAGAAATGGCGTTTAACCAGTGACCCTTTTCTTTTTTACTTTTCAAGAGGGGGTTTCTTTGTGTACCTCTAGCTGTCCTGGAACTCATTCTGTAGATAAGGCTGGTCTCGAACTTGCATATATGTGCCTACCTCTGCTTCTGAAGTGCTGGGAATAAGGGTGTGCACCACCATCCGGCCGATCATTTTCTGTAGTGCCAACTTTGAACCTCTTCCTATGTGTGTATCTGTGTATGTTTTCTGAGATGGGGTTCTCAGTCTGTAACTATGGCTGTCCTGGAATTCATTCTGTAGACTAAGATGGCCTTGGACTCACAGAGATCCACCAGCCTGTGTCTCCCAAGTGCTGGGGGTAAAGACATGTACCCCAATGTCCAACTTGCTTTATAATTATTTTTATTTTAGATGTCTGGATTGTTTGACTGTATGTCTGTGTACCATGTACTTGCCGTGATCTGGGAGACAATAAAGGGAGTTGAATCACCTGGAACTAGAGTAACAGTTAATTAAACACCATGTGGGCTTTGGGTCAGACCTCTGGAAGAATAACCAGTGTTGGTTTTTTTTTTCCTCCTTATTTATTTATTTATTTATTTATTTATTTAAAGAATTTTCACTTCCCTCCTCCCAATACCCTCCCGCTCCCCCCCCCTCCCTCACCATTCCCAAGAGTAGTCAGGGTTTCCTGCCCTGTGGGAAATCCAAGTTCCTCCCCCAGTTCTTAATCACTGAGTCAGCCTCTCCAATTTCTCCCCTGTTTTTTTTGTTTTGTTTTGTTTTGTTTTGTTTTGTTTTTTTTGAGATGGTAACCTTGTCTTTGAACTCAGATGTTCTTAGCCTCTGCCTTTCAAGTGCTAGGATTAAAGGACTGTGCCACCATGCCTAACTTTAATCTTCTTTTAAAATTGATAACTCAAAATGGGATCAAATTTACAGAAGTAGACCCTGTTTTGCTGACCTATTGTCTTTATATCTCTGTTTATTGTCTATTTCAAACTGCCTTTTTTCTTTTTTTTCAGTCGGAAATCCATGAAGTCCAGAAGCAGAAGTCCTGCATATTCAAGACACTCATCTTCTCATAGTAAAAAGAAGAGATCCGGGTCACGCAGCCGTCATTCCAGTATCTCACCTGTCAGACTTCCATTGAATTCCAGCCTGGGAGCTGAACTCAGTAGAAAAAAGAAGGAAAGAGCAGCTGCTGCAGCAGCAGCAAAAATGGATGGAAAAGATTCCAAGGGTTCACCCATCACTCTGACTAAAAAAGATAAAGTTGAGGTGAAGGAGTCAGGGTTAGAGTCTAAAAAGTTACCCAGAGGTATAAAGTCTGAAAAATCTATCCCAGATACTGAACTGATAAATGTAGCACATTCAAACACAGAGGTAAAAAATTGTTTAGATGCAGGGAAAGTTAAGTTGGATGAGAACCTGCAGAAGCATCCTGTTCTTAAGGATTTGAAAGCTCAGGGAGCAAAAGACACTAAACCTGTAGCACTGAAGGAGGTGATTGTTACTTCTAAGGAGACAGAGACATCAGAAAAGGAGACCCTTCCACCTCTCCCCACAATTACTTCTCCACCCCCTTTACCATCTACTACCCCTCCACCTCAGGCACCCCCTTTGCCACCTTTGCCTCCACTACCAGCTATTCCACTGCAGCCACCTCTGCCTCCTCCCCAACCACCATCTAGTCAAGCTCCTGTTTCTAGTGCTTCAACTTTGCCCTCTTCTCCTCACCCAAGGACATCTACTCTATGCTCTCAGACAAATTCTCAGCCCCCTGTACAGGTTTCTGTGAAGACTCAAGTATCTGTAACAGCTGCTATTCCACATCTGAAAACTTCAACATTGCCTCCTCTGCCCCTCCCTCCCTTGTTACCTGGAGATGATGATATGGATAGGTAAGTCCATAATAGAATGGAGAAGTTAGTCTTCTTAATCTATAATGTATTTTCTTTTTAAAATTCTTGAAACTATTAGACTGCATATCTTTTCAGGATGCTTTCTTTTATTGTTAGGAATTGCTTTTTTTTTTTTTTTAGTGGAAAACAATCCATTTTGTTTTGCTTTAGACTAGAGAATTAAAACTTTGTGGGTTTTTTCTTTTCATTTAAAAAAAAACAAAATTACATTGTTTTTCAGGTGTGTAAGTGTCTATAATGTGTCTCAGTGTGGAGATCAGAGGAAAATTTGGTGGGAGTCACTTCTCTTTTGTCCTTGTATCCAGCATCAGACTTGGTGACAAGTGCCTTTACCTGCTGAAATATCTTGATGGGTACCTTTTAGGGTTGGGCAGGGATAGGGTGTTGTTATGCTCACTGTGTAGTCTCAGGTAACCTTAAGCTCACAGCAGTTCTGCCTCAATCTCCTGAATGCTGGAATTTAGATATGCATCACTATGCCTGACAAAAATTAGATTTTGTGTGTGTGTGCTTGTATAACTATTTGTCTACACATATGTATGTGTACTGTGACTTTGTGTGGTCAGAAGATGATGATGGAACCTTTGGAATAAGAGTATGGATAGTTCCAAGCTACCATAAGGGTGCTGGGAACTGCACTCAAGTCTATAGAAGAGTAGCAGTTAATTACTCTAAATTACTGCTCTTAATTATATCTCTCCAGCCCCACTTTTACTCAATTTGAATATTTTTTGTTAGTTTATATGCATGTGTGTGAGCCTGTATGAATTTATGTACACCACATGAATGCAGGACAATGTAGGCCAGAGGTTATTGGATCTCTTAGGACTGTAGTTATAAGTGTTGGCCTCTGGAAGAGCAATAATCACTCTTAAACTCATGAGCCATTTTTCCAGGAGTATGTGTACTTTTTTTAAAAAAATTATGTGTGTACACATTTGTGCATTGGAGACCAGAAGGCACTGATACCTCATGTTTTACATACCCATGTTTCTCCGCCATATCTCTATTTTATTTTAAAAAGTTAATTGTGGGGCCGGAGACATGGCTCAGTGGTTAAGAGCATTGCCTGCTCTTCCAAAGGTCCTGAGTTCAATTCCCGGCAACCATGTGGTGGCTCACAACCATCTGTAGTGAGGTCTGGTGCCCTCTTCTAGCCTGCAGACATACACACAGACAGAATATTATATACATAATAAATAAATAATAAATAAATATTTTTTTAAAAAAAGTTAATTGTGGGGCTGAAGAGATGGCTCAGCCGTTAAGAGCACTGGCTGTTCTTCCATAGGTCCTGAGTTCAATTCCCAGCAACCACATGGTGGCTCACAACCATCTGTGATGAGATCTGGTGCCCTCTTCTGGCCTGCAGGCATACATGCAGACAGAACACTGTATAGGTAATAAATTTAAGAAAAAGTTTTGTGTGTGTGTGTGTGTATGTATGTATGTATGTATGTACATGTACCATGTTGTACGTGTGGAAATCAGAGGGTCACTTTGTGGAGTTGGTTCTTACATGGAGCTCAGGTCAGCAGGGTTTCATGACAAACATCTTTACCCACCGAGCTATCTCGATACCCCTGTTTTCCTTTTGTAATATTTTAATTTTAATATCTATAAAGAATTTGTAGAGTGACACTGTTTGTTTGTTTGTTCCTTTAGAGTTTTCTCTGTGTAATGGCCTTGACTGTCCTGAAACTTGACCAGGCTGGCCTTGAACTCACAGAGCTCCTCTTGCCTCTGCCTACTGAGTGCTGGGATTAAAGGCATACACTACCACCTCTGGTGGGTGATAGAATTTATAAAGATTACTGATCCTATAGTTAAAAAAGATATGCTTTAGCCATATAGACATCTATAGTTTTACTAGTTTATCTGTTGAGATCTTACCCTCTTATTTTCTAGGGGATGAGCTGCATTTACTGTTGTAGACTTCATTGTAAATAGAAAAATGAGTGCCATTTATTTTAAATTATAAACCTATTTTTATTTTTTTTAAACATTTATTTATTTATTGTGTATACAATATTCTTTTTGTGTGTATGCCTGCAGGCCAGAAGAGGGCACCAGACCCCATTACAGATGGTTGTGAGCCACCATGTGGTTGCTGGGAATTGAACTCAGGACCTTTGGAAGAGCAGGCAATGCTCTTAACCTCTGAGCCATCTCTCCATCCCCGCAAACCTATTTTTAAACTTTTCTCTTTCTGATATCAGTAGTTTGACATCAGTAATTTAAGTGACGATTCTGTGTGTGGGTGCATGAGTGTATGTGAGTGCAGACATGCAAACAGAGGCCTAAAGTCAGTCTTGGGTATTATTCCTCGGGATTCACTCACCTTGTTTTTGTTTTGTTTTAATTTTTAAATATATTTAATCTAACTGGGGGTGGGCCATTAATACTAATATTTGGGAAGCAGAAGCAGGCAGATCTCTGAGTTGGAGGCCAGTTTGGTTTACATAGTGAATTCCAGGACAGCCAGGTCTATTAAAATCCTGTCTTAATTTTTTTTTAAATTTGAATTATAAGTGTTTTGCCTGCATATTTGTATGTACATTTTAAGATGCAGATCCTTTAGAATGGGTGGTTATAAGCCACCATGCAGGTGCTGGGAATTGAACTCTGTACTCTGGAAGAGCAACAAGTGCTCTTAATCTCTTAGCCATCTCCAGCCTTTTAATTTCCCTGTTTCTAGCTTCCTATGCTTAATTGCAAGTCTGCAGCCAGGCTCATCTTTTTATGTGAATGTTAAGGCTCAAACTCAAGTCCTCATGCTTTGGCAGCAAATACATCACTGACAAAACTATTTCTCCAGTCCTGTTGAGTGTTTTTAATTCTTAAGATCTATATTTTTTCAGACTTAACCTTTGTACCTTAAAAATGTTCGAAAGTAGTAATGAATGGTGGAAGGGGTGGGAGAGTGAAGAGAGTGTTTTGCTATTTTGCTATTTGAGTCTTGCTTTGTTGTAGTATGTTCTGAAACTCCTGAGCTTCAGCCATCTTCCTTCTTAGCTGCCCATGTGCTAGGAATGCAAGCATTCACCACCAAAGCTAGTTCTCTCTGTTTTGTTTTGTTTTTAGAAACAGGGTCTCACTATAGAGCTCTGGCTGACCTAGAACTCAGAGCAATCTACCTGACTCTGCCTACAGAATGCTGGGATCCATCTGTCTCTAACTCTAGAATACTGGGATTAAAAATGAAGGGCGCTATGCCCAACCAAGTGTCATTATTTTGTTTTATAATTATACTATTCATAAATTATTAAAGGTAGGAAATGGCTGGGCAGTGTTGGCACACGCCTTTAGTCCTGCACTCGGGAGGCAGAGGCAGGCAGATCTCTGAGTTCGTCTAGTTTCAGTACAGCCAGAACTGTTCCACAAAGAAACCTTGTCTCAAAAAACCATAAAAACAAATAAACAACAACAAAAAACCCTCAAAATCAAAGATACACGTGGTTGCAGTGGCTCTTGCCTTTAATTTGAGCTAGAGAGGCAGAAGCAGGCAGATCTCTGTGTGTGATTCCAGCTTGGTCTACAGGAGTGACCAATTTTATGGATCCTCATTATTTTTTCTAGGTTTTGAGTATATTGAAATTTACTGAAGCAAGATTTTGACCCCTTCAGATTGGTGTAGTCTGAACTGATAGTACATGTCTTATTAAAGACTCATCCTTATAAACTTCCTTAAAATAGAGTTTTCTTTTCCTTTTCTTCTTTTCTTTTTTTTTCTTTTTTAGACTAGTCAAGTGCAGTAGTGAGAAGGAGGGGAAAGTGTAGACCAGGAATTCAATCTGTAACTGACTGTGAACAATCAATTGAGATAATTCACTACCTTCGGACCATTCTTGTAGAATGTCTTTTTTCTTTCTTTTTTTCTAAAAAGACTGTCTTTTTTTGTAGTCCTCCTGCCTGTCCTAGAACTCTCTATGTAGACCAGGCTGGCCTTAAATTGATAGAGCTCTTCCTGCATCTGCCTCTTTGTGTATTAGCATTAAAGGCATGTGTTAACAGGCCTAGCAGAATGTACATTTTTCAATAATAATAAACTATATTTGAGACCATTAAATCTTTGAGAAAAAAAATAAACGTCAAACATAGACTTAGTGATAATCCTAGACGTTTCAGATATTTTGAGTTTTTTTGTTTTCTTCTTCTTAAGTGAACAGAAGAAAATCTCTTAAATTCCTGAAGAATTGAGACTGATAAAGAATATTTTGACAGTGTTTGTAGAATTATAATTTTCCTTTATATATTTAAAAATTACAAACATTTTGAAAGCTTGTATTCCTTTCTCATTTTTTGCTAATAAACTTTTTTGGTAGGAAAATCTGACTGTAGATTCTGATGAATGCTCATCTTTACTAAGAGTATTTATATAGGAAGCTTTTGTGATTATACTTTATTGACTTCCCAGTTGTGGTTTATGTGGTACAAACTAAGTAGATTCCTTAATTACTCATTTATAGGGGATTAAGATGATTAAAAACTAGTAAGAAGCATTACCTCTTAAAATTATGTTCTTGCAGGTTTGTTTTTGTGTTTTTGTTTGTTTTGTTTTTTGGAAACAGGGTCTCTTTACATGCTCCCTGGAACTCCACCTACATAGGTTTGGCTGGCCTTGAACTCAGAGATTAGCTTGCCACTGCCACTTGAATGCTGGAGTGAAAGGCATGTGGTAAATGAGGGGGGCCAGCCACGATGATAATGTTAAGTCTGGGCAAGTCACACAAAGGAAGTTCTTTACTTCCAACCATTATCACTTGGGACTCTGGCCATCAATAAACTTAAATAAGAGGCCTGAGTCTCAGTAGTTTACCGGAAAACACCACAAACTGAGATTACCCGACCCCTACTCAAGAGCAGACCATTCAAAGGAAATGTATATAGGATCACCTGCCACCATACCTCACCAGGACACTCCTAGACAAATGTCAGCCAATCAGGGGTCCTGAACCTCAGAAACCCCTGACCCCCACCTCTACTACTATAAAAACTCAATTCTAATTGAGCTCAGGGCTCTCTGTTATTCCAATACTTTGGACATGCAGAGAGACCGAGTTTACAAACTTGATTAAAATAAAGGCTCTTTGCTTTTACATATGGGACCCCATATATTTGGGCATAACATTTGGGGGCCGACTGGGATCCCCCAAAGCCCACTAGGACTACCACTTGTAGAGCCTTCAACCGGCCTATGGAGTTTTTGTTTTATGTTGGTTAAGTTTTCTGTGTTCATGAAACATGTCTCTCATGTCTGTGTCATGAGCTTTTGTGAGCAGTCCCAGAAACCGTAGTGCCTGAAAACGATCTGTGGATACGCAAAAAGATCACAGTCAGGGCACCTGGGGAGACGTTCTTGGTCACTTCTACTGAGAGTGGTTCTCTGGGGAGACATGGGGGTCCCTCAGTTCTGTGGTGAGACACGCGAGTAGTGTGGTCAGTTGGCTTTTGTGGGGACCCCGCAGATTTGGGCATAACAGTAGCAACACACACAGACACACACACATGAATGCACATACACAATTTTAAAATAAAACTATTTTTAAAATTTGGATTTACCAAGCTTTATAGCAAATATCTATAATCCCACTACACTGTCTTGAAAAGCCAAAAAGAAAAAACAGCAAAAAACAACTTGGCAGTGTAATTGTGGTTTGCCTCTTTTAATTTCTGATACTTCTGCCTGAACCTCACCAAGTTTAGATCCTTCCCTTTCCTCACCAGATATACTATGTTTTTAACTCAGGGTCTGGCACCTGCTAAGCAAGAATTATACCACTTTGAACCAGAGAAATGGCTCAGTGGTTTAGAGCACTGGCTACTCCTCTACAGGACCTGATTTTAATTCTTTTTTTTTTAATATTTATTCATTTATTATGCATACAATATCTGCCTACATGTGTGCCTGCAGACCAGAGAGGGCACCAGATCTCATTACAGATGGTTGTGAGCCACCATATGGTTGCAGGAATTGAACTCAGGACCTTTGGAAGAGTAGGCTTAAGATGACTCTTAACCACCACTGAGTCATCTCTCCAGCCCCCTGGTTTTAATTCTTAATACCTTCGTGGCAGTTTACATTCCATCTGTAACAACAGTCCCAAGGTATCTGATGCCTTCTTCTAACCTCTACAATCATTGCATGCATATAGTGCATAGACTGTACATATAAAAATAAATATTAAGTGAGTTCAAAGCCAGCCTGGTCTACAAAGTGAGTCCCAGAGCAGCTAGGACTGTTACACAGAGAAACCTTGTCTCAAAAAACCAAAAATCAAAACAAAACAAATTTAAAAAAATTGTAATTAAAGTATACCTCAAATATTAACATATTAAGCACATTTCCCCACTATTTTTATACATGAGAAAATAGATGTATTCACGGTGCTTACTTTAAGAAATTTACTTTAGGGGCTGGAGATATGGCTCAGAGGTTAAGAGCATTGCCTGCTCTTCCAAAGGTCCTGAGTTCAATTCCCAGCAACCACATGGTGGCTCACAACCATCTGTAATGGGGTTTGGTGCCCTCTTCTGGCCTGCAGGCATACACACAGACAGAATATTGTATACATCATAAATAAATAAATAAATGTTTTTTTTTAAAAAGAAATTTACTTTAATATTTGGTATAATGAAAGCACTGAATCTTGCTCTTTAATAAATTGGTTATATTAATCAGTTAATTAACTAATATACTTCCATAAGTTCTAACTTTAGTATTTGTTTAGATTTATTATCGCTATGAAAGTTTTGCCTATATTAATGTATGTGTACCATGTGTATGTCTGGTTCTGACAGAACTCAAAGGAAGGCATGGTATTCCTTGCAACTGGAATTATTTATAGTTGTGAACTGTCTGATCTGTGCTGGAAATTGAGCCGCAGTCTTTCTAAAGAGCCATTCTTGGCCCTTAGCCATAATCCCATAAGTAAAATCTTAATCTTTTTAATAGTTGTTCATTATTAGTATTCTTTTAAAGCTGTTTTGAATAGTCTCTGAGTAATCTTTTTAATCCTCTCATCTCTACTCAGTCCAAAAGAAATGGTTCCATCAAAGCCTGCAAAGAAAGAGAAGGAACAGAGAACTCGCCACCTACTCACAGATTTGCCTCTTCCTCCTGAGCTACCAGGTGGAGATCCATCTCCCCCAGATTCTCCAGAGCCAAAGGTCATTACGCCTCCTCAACAACCGTATAAAAAGAGACCAAAGTAAGTTTATCAGTTAAACTTTTAAAAAAAATATTTATTTATTTATATTTTACGTACATTGATGTTTTGCCATGAGTGTTGGGTCTCCTGGAACTAGAATTACAGACAATTGTGAGCTGCCATGTGGGTGCTGGGAATTGAACCCGGTCCTCTGGAAGAGCAGTCATTGCTCTTAACCTCTGAGCCATCTCACTGGCTCCAAATTTAAGGTTTTTTGAGACAGGATTTTTCTGTTGCTATGGTGCCTACCCTGGCACTCTCCAAAAGAGGGTGCTAGGTCTTCTGGGACTGCAGTTACATCAGTTGTAAGTCATCATGTAGGTGCCGGGAATTGAACCCATGTCCATGGCTTTTAATTGCTTAGTTATTCTCATCAGCACCTTAGGGATCTTTTTTTTTTATTATTTTGTTTTTGAGACAAGGTTTCTCTGTGTAGCTTTGGAACCTGTCCTGGAACTTAAGACCAAGCTGGCCTCAAACTCACAGAGATAATCTACCTGCCTCTGACTCCCTAGTGCTGAGACTAAAGGCATGTGCCACCATAGCCTGGCTAGGGATCTCTTTTTAATTGAAGAGTATTCTCTTCTGTTTTTTATCTCAAATTTATATATCTTTTACAACTCACAGAATCAGGAGTCAAAAAATACATCTTTTATTTCAATTTCATTGGAAACAGTCTTTGGGAGGATGTTTTTCTGTTCCTACAGTTCTTAGTTACTGTTTTCTCACTGTGAAGAGACACTATGGCCGAGGCAACTCTTATAAAAAAAAAAAACCATTTAATCGAGTGCTTGCTTACAATTTAAGGCATTTAGTCTATTATCACAATTGCTTGCAAGCACCATTCTGAGAGCTACATCTTGATTCATAGGTAGATAGTGGGAATAATACTGGGTGTGGCTTGGGCTTTAGAAACCTAAAAACCACCTCCAGTACACACTTCTTTCAATAAGGCCATACTTGCTAATCTTTCTAATCCTATCAAAGAATTTCACTACTTGACTAAACATTCAAATATATGAGCCTATGTCAGCCATTCTCATTCAAACCACCAAGCATAATACATAGCTAACGTTTTTGTTGTTGTTGAGAGAAGATTTTACTATGTTTTTCTGGCTGGCCTGGAACTCACAGAGATTGCATGCCTTTAATCCCAGCACTTGGGAAGTAGAGGCAGGCTGATCTCTTGATTTTATGGTCAACCTGCTCTATAGTATGAGTTCCAGGACAGCCAGAAACCTAGCTACTTAGTGAGATCCTGTCTCAAGCAAAAAAAATGGAAACACCAAACCACATTTCGTTTGGAAAGCAATCCATGTACTTAGTGAAAACTCACATTCTGCTGCACTACCAGCTTGTATCTTTTGAAGTCAGAATCCATTATAACCACTGACAGTTTATTATTTATTTTCTGCCATTTCAACAAAAATTTTATAAATAAAACTAGACAATGGTAGCACACACCTTTAATCCTAGCACTTGAGAGACAGATTGATGGATCTCAGTGAGTTTGAGGCCAGCTTGGTCTATAAAATGAATGCCAGGACAGGCTCCAGAGCTACACAGAGAAACACTGTCTTGAAAAACAAAACAAATTAAAACAAACAATGTGTATAAAGACAGTCATTTAATGGCAAGGTAATAGTTTTTATTGGTTTTCTTTTTAGAATTTGTTGTCCTCGTTATGGAGAAAGAAGACAAACAGAAAGTGATTGGGGGAAGCGATGTGTGGATAAATTTGACATTATTGGGATTATTGGAGAAGGAACGTATGGCCAAGTATATAAAGCTAAGGACAAAGACACAGGTAAGTATGCCCTTAAAATTCTTGATGTCAGAAGCATAATAATTTAATAATTACTAATACTTTAAATAGATTTAGTAAAATAAGTTTTAGATTTTAATTTGTTCTCTTAATTATTAAATACATTAAAATGTTCCAAAAAAAATAGTTTTGTCAATTCTTAGTTTCTCTTTACTCTAGGACCTCCCTGTACTAAGTCCTTTACATAAAATAGCCTAATATTTGCATGTATCCTCTGCCCATTTTCCTGTATAATTAAATTATCTATAGAATATTTGTTACCAATAAAAACAAATTATTAATAAACATTATCATTCAAGGATCAATGACTAAATGATTTTTGAACATGTCCATTTCAGACAATATCTCCTTCCAGCTGGAAATGTTTTTAGTCTATAGTAGTTTGATTCCATGAATGATATGCAAAATACAGAGAGCTGACTGTGTTGTAGTTTTTATTAAAGTTTTCCTTTTGAGCTAGTTCAGTGGTAAACAGTTTGCATACATTTGAGAGGTTCTGGATTTGATTTTCAGCATTGCAAGCTAAAATTTTAAATTCCCTACATTTGTTGTCTATTCTGAATATTGATTTGACTTTGTGATAGGTTTTTGTTTTTTGTTTTATATTGTATTTTGGTGCTAGAATTTGAATTTAGGGCATACACAAGTAGTTTATCAAAAAAGCTCTAATTCCAGCCTTCTTTGTTGTATATTATAAACTGTTTATTGCTTTCTGGAAATTTTTTGTGTTATTTTGTGCGGAATGTATTTTATTCATTCATTCACTCATTTTTTTATTTTCAAAATATTTACTTATGTATACAATATTTTGTTTGTGTGTATGCCTGCAGGCCAGAAGAGGGCACCAGACCCCATTACAGATGGTTGTGAGCCACTGTGTGGTTGCTGGGAATTGAACTCGGACCTTTGGAAGAGCAGGCAATGCTCTTAACCTCTGAGCCATCTCTCCAGCCCTATTTATTTTTTATATAACTGATTTAACTTTTATTTTATGTCCATTGGTGTGAAGGTGGAGCTACATTCAATTGTGAGCTGCCATGTGGGTGCTGGAAACTGAACTTGGGTCCTTTGGAAGAGCAGCCAGTGTTCCTAACCACTGAGCCATCTCTCCAGCCCTGTATTTTATTTATTTAGCGAGTACACATCCATGTGTCTGTTTCTGGCTTTGGTTATATTTGTGTCATGGTACACAGCAGGGAGTCTGTTTTCTTCTACCATGTGAGATCACTGGGGAAGCAGAGGTAGAAATTTAAGTTGGAGACAGCTTAGTCTACTTAGCAAGATCTTGTCTCAGAAATGAGAAAGAGATGTAGGAAAAGAATGAGATTACGTGTCAGCATGAAGATAGGAATAAGGCTGATTGTGTATCCTGATGTTAGAAGGCAATCTTACCATAGGCTCAAAGCTCAATCTCAGCCTCCTAAAGAAAAGAAGGGAAACATCGAGGTTTTATGTAAAAAATACAAGTATTTGTACGTCTGAATACTTGTTCATGACAATAACTAAGAACCACAGTTGATTATAGTGACCGTTCATATATATTTTTACAGGAGAACTAGTAGCACTGAAGAAGGTTCGACTAGATAATGAGAAGGAGGGCTTCCCAATCACAGCCATCCGAGAGATCAAAATCCTTCGTCAGTTAGTTCATCGAAGTGTTGTTAACATGAAGGAAATTGTTACAGACAAACAAGATGCACTGGATTTCAAGAAAGACAAAGGTAATAGTAGAAATTTCTGCATCTTTAATTTCATGTGTTTGAGGTTTTATCTGTACACATGTGCCTGCAAAAACAAAAACTGCCCTTAACTATAGAACTGTCTATCTCCATTTTTATGAATTTTGGGGAGGTGGGCAGGAAGAGTTGACAGGGTTTCTACATAGTACTAACCATTCTGTAACTCACTAAGTAGACCAGGCTGGCCTTGAACTCAGAGTTCAGCCTGACTCTGCCTCCAGAGATAAGCCTATCATTTATTTATTTTTGAGACAGAGTCTCCTTGTGACGCTGACTCCTTTGGAAATTTCTGTGTGTACACTTTACTATCTTCAAACATGAACTTAGGTATCTACTGTCCTCTGACTCCCAAGTGTATTTTTTAAAAATATTTATTTATTTATTTATTTATTTATTATACAATATTCTTTCTGCGTGTATGTCTACAGGCCAGAAGAGGGCGCCACCATGTGGTTACTGGGAATTGAACTCAGGACCTTTGGAAGAGCAGTCAGTACTCTTAACCACTGAGCCATCTCTCCAGCCCCCCCAAGTGTATTTTTTTTAAAGATTTATATATTTATTGCATGTTCAGTTTTCTGTCTGCATGTGTGCCTTCAGACCAGAAGAGAATGCCAGATCTCATTTTAGAAGGTTGTGAGCCACCATGTGGTTGCTGGGAATTGAACTCGTGACCTCTGGAAGAGCAGTCAGTGCTCTTAACCTTTGAGCCATCTCTCCAGCCCCCAAGTGTATTTTTATGTGTATAAATGCTTTTGTCTGCGTGGATGCCAGAAGAGGCACTAGATATCCTGAAACTGGGGTTGCCAATGGTTGTAAGCAGCCATATGGATTTTTAGAATTGAATAAAGATTCATTGCAAGAGCTACAAGTGTTCTTATCTACTAAACCATACAACTTCTGCTTTTATATTTATTTATTTACTCTTACAGGCAAGGTCTTGCTGTCTAAATAGTGTCCTGTATGTTCTGGAACTTGCTATGTAGACCAGGCTGGATCTCCTGGAACTGGAGTTTGGAGTTGTAGGTGGTTGTAAGCCACACATTGTTGTTACTGGGAACCAAACTCAGGTCCTCTGCAAGAGCATTATGTGTTCTTAAATGCTTGACTATCTCTCCAGCTCCTATTTTGTTTATTTTTATTTATTTTTATTTTTTTATTTTGATTTTTGAGACAGGGTTTCTCTGTAATTTTTGGTGCCTGTCCTGGAACTAGCTCTTGTAGACCAGGCTGGCCTCGAACTCACAGAGATCCGCCTGCCTCTGCCTCCCGAGTGCTGGGATTAAAGGCGTGCGCCACCACCGCCCGGCTCCTATTTTGTTTTTTAAGACGGTATTATTATGTAATTGAGGCTGGTCTCCAGTTTCTTGTTAACTTCTTAGTTCAACTGCCTGCCAAATAACGCGATTGTAGTTTTATACTACCACACAATTTTATTTTTCCTTTCTTAGCTTGCTTACCACTGTGTGAACGTTTTAGGATATTGTCTCAACGAAGCTAGGCTAGCCTCAAGCTTTCTATGTAGATAAGAGTGACATTGAACTCATTACCCTCATGCCTCTATCTTCCAAGTGCTGGGATTAAAGTGACATGCTACCATGTGTAGTTCTGCCAGTGTCAAAATTTTTTTAACAGGTTGACTTCAGTCTTCTTTCTTTCTTTCTTTCTTTTTCTAAGATTTATTTATGTGTACAAATGTTTACATGTATATGTGCACAGTGGCCACAGAAGTCAGAGTTGTTGTCAGATACCCTGGAACTGGAGGTATAAGTAATTGTGAGGCACCATGTGGATGCTGGAAATTGAACTCAGGTCTTCTGCAAGAACCACATGTGCTCTTAACCACGAGCCATCTCTCCAGCCCCAGAGTTTTGCTCTGCCCCTTTCTTCCCCCAATGCCTATTTGATTACTTTTCAACACAGGGCTTCCCCATGAAACTCTGGGTGTTCTGGAACTATCTTTGGAGACTAGTTTAGCCTCAAGCTCACAGGATTCCACCTGTTTCTGTCTCCAAGTGCTTTTTTTTGTAAACTTGTTTTATTTCTATTTTATGTGTGTGGATGTTTTGCCTAAAATACATGTCTGCATTTTATACATCCAGTACTTATAGAGAACCTGTAACTGACGTTATTGACAGTTGTGAGTAACAGAAAGGGTGCTGGAATCATATCTGGATCCTCTGTAATAACAGCAAATGCTCTGAACTGCTGATCTTCCTTTTAGTCCCAAATCTTTTTTTGGGGTGGGGGGTAATATGAGTTAAGGTGATTGCAGATGAGGGCTTTAAGAGATAGCTTCCTCATTATGAGTACCTGAATTAAATTCCTAGACATCACACAGAAAATTTAGGCATGGCGGAGTACACATGAAATCCCAGTGCCAGGAAAGCAAATGGGCAACTCATTGGCACTGGCTAGTCAGTCATTCCATTGACTTGGTGAATTAAATAAAGCAAGAGACCCTGTTCCCAAAAAACAAGTTGGGACTGTCCGGATGGCTCAGCAGGTGGAGGTTCTTTGTTTCAGGATTGACAGCCTAGATAGATCTCACAGGTGACATGAATGAATTCCTAATTTTCTTTTTTATGTTCCCATGCATGCCACGTACACACATACATAATAATTAACAAGAAAAGGACAGTGAATGCCACCTGCAGTTGACCTAAAATACGTATTGGCAGATTAAATTAGGTATGGAGTTATATTACTATAGTCATAACTGGAGGCTGGGCCAAGGATCACAGGTTCAAAGTCAACTAAGTCTATGAAATATGTTTGAGTCCAACCTAGGCTAATATATAAAGACTCATTCTTTTTTTAAAAGAGTGTTTTTTGTTTGTTTGATTTTGCTAAATAGCATAGTTTAATCAAATATACATTTTTTAGGCCAGGTACTGGTGGTGCCTGCCTTTAATCTCAGCACTTGGGAGGCAGAGGCAGGTAGATGTATGTGAATTTGAGGCCAGTCCTGTCTACAGAGTGAATTTCCAGGACAGCAAGGGCTACACAGAAAAACCCTGTTTCATAAACAACTAAACAAAACATGCATTTAAAAAACAATTACTTTGGGCTGGAGAGATGGCTCAGAGGTTAAGAGCACTGACTGCTCTTCCAGAGGTTCTGAGTTCAATTCCCAGCAACCACATGGTGGCTCACAGCCATCTATAATGAGATCTGGTGCCCTCTTCTGGCATGCAAGCATACATGGAAGGAATGTTGTATACCTAATAAATAAATAAATCTTTAAAAAAAAAAAAACAAAAAAAAAACAATTACTTTGTGTGTATGGGTGTTTTGTCTGCACATACATATGTATACCATGTGTGTGCATAGTGCCCACAGAAACTAGACATTAGATCCCCTGGAACTGGAATTACAGACATGTGGGTTCTGGGAATCAAACCTAGATTCTCTCAAAAAACAGCCAGTGCTTGTAACAGCTGAGCCATCTATCCCCCCTAAACATTCTTTCTGAGTAAATTTCAAGGTAGTATGTAAGATAAAAATTACTTAGTCAACTGGTTTTTATAGTAGTTTTAAATTGAAAAGAAATACAGTAAAAATTTATATAGCCTTAATTTGAACCCATCCTAGCATATATTCCCCAACATTGAACCTAGTCATGCGCTCTACAACTAAGTGTACGTGTGTGACTGTTATCATAGGTATGTAATGAACATCATCATTTATGTTTGTGTAATTTCAGTCTATGCTGTTCACAAATAGTTAAACATCTAAGTTTTTTGCTTTTTTTTTAAGGATTTATTTTCTTATTATGCATACAATGTTCTGTTAACACATACACACCAGAAGAAGGTACCAGATCTCATTATAGATGTTGTGAGCCACCATGTGGTCGCTGGGAATTGAACTCAAGACCTCTGGAAGAGCAGCCTGTGCTCTTAACCTCTGAGTCATCTCTCCAACCTCTTTTGTTGCTTTTTTGAGACAGGGTTTTTCTTTATAACAGTTCTGACTGTCCTAGAACTCATTCTGTAGACTAGACTGGCCTGGGACTATTTGTAACCTCTGCTCCAGGGTAATCTGACATCCTCTTTTGGCCTCCTGCACACTTTTAATCAGTAGTAATACCATCACATAGATACATATAATAACAACAACAACAAAAAAATATATCTAGTTCTTTCTAAGAAAAATCAAAGATGCTTGTAAGGTACAATATGGATCTTAGATATGAATTTGTGGTCCTCTGGTAGAGCGACCAGTTCTCTGCACTCTTTCTCTATCTCATATCTGTTTTTCTTGTGTTGCCAGATCTTATCTTAGTCTTCTCTGAGGTATTCCTTTAATACCATTTTTCTTTATTGAAACTGTGAACTATTTGAAAATGTTCGGGAAACAAAATGTTTGTGTCCTCATTCTGTTCATTCCCTCTCCTCTCCCCCCCAAAAAAAAATGAAGAAAGGAAAAAAGAAATGCAAAGGGGTGAGGAGCTGTCTTAGTGGATAAGTGCTTGCCATACAATCATGAAGACCCAAGCTGAGCATAACAGTGCATGTCTCTGATCCTGCATTTCGTAAGGCAGAGAGACAAATGAATTTCAGGGGCCCACTGCCCATTCTCTTTAGTTAGCTTAGGAACTAATCAGCAAGTTTAGTGTGAGACTGTCTCAAAAAATAAGGTGGAGAATGGTAGAAGAGGACAATAACCCAGAGTCAACCTTTACCCTTGATACCATGTGTACACGTGAGCCAGGGTGTCATTGTGCACATACTGTGTGGACGTGCACACTTAAACAAAACTATTCTATCTCTTTAAAAAATAAATGCATACCATTTGGGAAATGTGAGAGAGTTCTGGAAGTCTACCCTATATATTAAGAATCCCTGCCTTTTACTGAGGATGTAGCTAAATTATGGATCACATGCCTAGTTATACTTTGATACCTTGGGTTGGATTTTTTTGTTTTTATGGTACTAGTGAACAGAATTATAAACCTGGAGGATTTTGTTGTGTTTTGCTAAGGTTTCAAAATGCTCAGGCTGCTCTATAACTGTGTAGTTAAGGGTGACCTTTAATTTCTCTACCACATGATTTATGAGGTATTGGACTCAAACCCAGGGTTTTCCTGGCTATAGTGGTGTGTGCCTTTATCTGAGCACTGGGGAGGTTTAGGCAGTTTTGGGGCCAGCCTGGTCTACGTATCTACATATCTGCAGGATAGGTTCCATGCCAGCCCTGTCAGAAAACAAAAACATAATATAAACCCAAGATTTTATGCATGCTTGGCAAACACTCTCCCAAGTAAACTACAGCCTCAGCCTGTAGGACTAGAATTCCACGTTTACAACATTGGTATAAATTTCAAATTCCGTACAGCTATTTTTAGTGTATTTCTTACTACTATTACCTGTTTCTGAATTCGTTTATGTGTTAGTCTTAGTTTATAACACATGTGTGTGAGTGCCATTGAGTTCAGAAGACATCATATCTTCTGGAGCTGCAATTATAGGCAATTGTGAATTGTGCTCCGGTGTCAGTGGCCAACCGGCATAGTCAGCTCCAGGCCAGCCAGGGCTACATATATAGTAAGATACTGTTTCAAAAAAGGGAGTAGAGGGCTGGAGAGATGGCTCAGTGGTTAAGAGCATTGCCTGCTCTTCCAAAGGTCCTGAGTTCAATTCCTGGCAACCATATTGTGGCTCACAACCATCTGTAATGAGGTCTGGTGCCCTCTTCTGGCCTGCAGACATACACACAGACAGAATATTGTATACAAAATAAATAAATAAATATTTAAAAAAGGGGGGGGAGTAGAAAGAGGAGAGTTGGAAAAGATGATTCAAAGGACCCTTATTTACTTACCAACACTCCCATGTCAGTTTACAACTATCTGTAACTCCATTTCCAGTGGATTCAGTACCATCTTCTGTCCTATGCATGATTCATGCATGGATGTAGTGCAGTGATATATATGCAAACAAAACACTCTTCATATAAAATAAAATAAATCAAGAAAAAAAGTCCCAGTTTATAACAAATGGGCATGGTTGTCTTACACAAAATAAAACAAGAGAAACTATAATTGCCAGCTAATTGATTTGGCCCAGAGTCTGTAACTGTTAATAAACATTTTGATCTTGAAGTATAGTAATATAAATATTAAGTTCTCTTATAATGTAAGTAATTTACATATGGGTAGTATGGGAATCAAGATTTATTGACTTATTACTTATTTAGTATAAACTATATTATAAATAAATAAATTGATTTATCCTTAGGAAAGGAAAATTATTTTATTAGTCTAATTTTTAGGTCATTCATCTATAAAATCGGTTGCTCCAGAGAGATTCTAGTTAACCTCATTTATGTTCAAATTTGGTAATTGTTATTTCAACTTTTTTAAAAAAATTTTTTTAAAGAAATTTTCTTCATGTTATGTAGGTGCCTTTTACCTTGTATTTGAATATATGGACCATGACTTAATGGGACTACTAGAATCAGGTTTGGTGCACTTTTCTGAGGACCATATCAAGTCATTCATGAAACAGCTAATGGAAGGATTGGATTACTGTCACAAAAAGAATTTCCTCCATCGGGATATTAAATGTTCTAACATTTTGCTGAATAACAGGTAACACAATAACCAAATGAGGTTAATCACTTTTTCCCTTTCTTTTGAATTTTGTCTAGATAATTAGGATATAAGCAATGCAATTTTTTTTTACTTGTTATACATGTTGAATGTGTTCATTTATTGTTGTCTCTCTCTTTGCTTTTCTCTTGTATCATCTTTCCTGACGTAATGTTAGAATTAATAAAGTAGGCTTGCAAATATTCTTTAATTGCCAACATTCTAGATTATTAATCTACTAGAGAATACACCATATAGTTAAAAATAGTGCTGCTATCCAGAGAAAACTTAAATATGTATTTGGTTCTTAGTATCTTTCTTTAGTGGAAAGAAATGTCCCTCCCCTGTCAACTGACTTTGTCAGTTACTTCTTTTAGAAGACTTTGCCTCAACACACACACACACAAAACACACACAAACTCTCTCTCTCTCACACACACACACAAACATTTTCCCTCTCTTTCTCTCTCTCTCTCTCTCTCTCTCTCTCTCTCTCTCACACACACACACACACACACACACACACATACGCAAACTCACACTCACAGGTTGGTGGTGGTTGTGGTAGAAGGTGAAACAAGCAGCCGTGTGGGATTGCCTGAGATTGTCCAAATTTTAATACTAAAAGCCTGGTAGTTTATACTGTGCAGCTGAGTTTAGGAGTAGAGCTAAGCAATTTAATTTTTCTATTCAGTAAGAATTTTTAGAGAGTCTCAGTATGTACCTCAAGTGGTTTTTAACTGTGATTCTCTTTCTCAGCCTCCCAAGTGCTGGGATTAAAGGCATACATCACCATAACAGACCATGTTTGTTTGTTTAATTTAGAATCACCTGGAAAGATGCAGCTTTGAGGAATAAATAGAAATTATCAGAAAGACTGACAATGAAGAACCAAAATCATTGCTTATACAAAAGCACATGAAAGAGCATGGCTGCAGAACCAGCACTGTAGAAGCTAAGGAAGGAAGACTGGATTTGAAAGTAGAGTGGGAATAGAGTTCAATTGGTAGTGCCAGTGTGCACCAAGACCTGGGTTTGATTTATAGCACCACATAGCAGTTTCATTGCCAGCCTGAAACCGAGACTCTTAACTTCAAAAAGAAAATAAGTAAATGGTGTATTATGTTTAGAAAAGTATAAACATAATTATAAACTTTATTACTAGATCATGAGGTAAAGCAATTATGGTGAAAGGTGAATCCAAATTGTTACTAGGAACCAGTTTATGATTATGTATATCCTTCTCAAGTGGTTTCCTGTTAGCTACAGTTTGGGAGAGGGGCATTCAAAATATCTTTGTAAAGCACTACTTTAAATTATACTTTAATGCCTTTATTGTGAGGGAAGCAAGATGTATAAAGATTTATTCTTAAACTGGAACTATGTTTACATTCTTATAATCACAGCTAGTAAGAAAGTTAAAATGAGAGAATCAGGAGTTTGATGCCAGCTTGAACAATTTAGTGAGACACCATTTTGAAAAAAGTTTTTTTTTGTTGTTGTTGTTTTGTCCATTCTCTTCCTGTTTCTGCAACTCAAAATATTCTACTAAGTGTATATCCATAATTCATAGTTCATCTGTAGTCTCAGCTACTTGGAAGGCTGGAGCAGGAAAATTATATATTTGAGTTTGCCTAGTAACTGGTAAGACTGTCTTGCTGGGCATAGTGGTACATGCCTTTAATCTCAGCACTTGGGTGGAAGAGTCAGATGGATCTCTGTGAGTTCAAGACCAGCATGTGCATGATCTGCATAGTTCCAGGACAGCAAGAGGTGCATAGTGAGACCTTGTCTGAAATAAAAAAGATCTGTCTAAAGGTAAGTGTGGTGGTAAACACCTTTAATTCCAGCCCTTGGGAGGCAGGGATAGGTTTTATCTTTAGGAGTTCAAGGCCATCGTAGTGAGTTCCAGGCCAGCCAGGAATGCATAGCAAGACTCTCAGTGAAGAAACAATTGGTCACTGACTCAACAGTTAAGCGCACTGGTTGCTCTTCCAGAGTACCCTGGTTTAATTCCCAGCACCCACATGGCAGCTCACAACTGTCTGTAATTCCAAGATCTGACATTGACATCCTCATACATGCAAAACACCAATGTGTATATATATATATATATATATATATATATATATATATATATATATATATATATAAAGAAAATAAATATAAAAAAAATTATTTAAGAAAGAGCACTGCCTGCTCTTCCAAAGGTCCTGAGTTCAATTCCGCGGCAACCACATGGTGGTTCACAAACATCTGTAATGAGGTCTGGTGCCCTCTTCTGGCCTGCAGACATACACACAGACAGAATATTGTATGTATAATAAATAAATGAATATTTTTTTAAAAAAGAAAGAAACATACAATTGTTTTGTCCTGAAATTTTCTGTAAACCAGACTGACCTCAAACTCAGAGGTTGGCTGCCTCTGGCTACTGAGTGCTAGGATTACAAGTGTGCACCACAACTACCTGGCTGAAAAAAAACAATGAGTGAAGTAGGATTATAGCCGGCTATAGCTGTGCCTCAGTAGTATAGCCCTAAACTATACAACAAAAGAAAATTTAATGATAGCTTTCAGTTTGAGGCTTTTTGTCACTTAGTATTTTATTTTCTTCTTCCTGAGAGGATAACTCGGAACAAGTAATAATTATAGTTGTGTTTTATATATATTTTTAGTGGGATCCCCTTTGACTAGTCCCTGACTTCCAGAGTTATAAAGATTGAAATTTTATACTAAATTGAAGTCTGTCATGGTTACTAATTGAGATGTGGGAAGCCATAAGCCAACTTGATCCTTCAAGTTTCTAATCCTGCTCACTTTGCTCTATACTCAGTGGTCTTCATTTTTATTGGGTGCCACAGAAAACAGGGTCTTTTCCATCAGTAGAAGTATTTATTGGTTCTTCAACCATTCCAGGCTTAGCTCTGAGGGTTCTGTGAATGGCTATGTATGTTGGACATATTCCAGTTATTTAACTCAAGCACAAGGTGGTTATCGAGGGTTGGGGGAGAAGAGTATCTTTAAGTCAGATATCTGGCAGAGGCAGGTTTATCTACATACTGAGACCCTGTCTAAATAACAAAATAAGTAGAATCCAAGAGAAATGGCCAAAGAGAGGAATAAGGAAAATAGTGACTGCAATATGGTCATGTTTAAAAAGGGAGTAGTCATAGATATCAGATTGCAAATTATATTACTTAAGAAGAAAATTTGTGAAGTATAAGGTCAGAGGTGACATTAGCACATAGTCAAGGGAAGGAAATATACTGTGATAGACAGCTAAATTTCAGAAAAATAAGGTACTAAATACTTGAAGATCATTTCAAAAGACATTTTAAAGTCACAGTCTCAGAAAGGATTTTTTTGCTATTTATATGTGCATCTGTTTTCTTTCTGTCACTGGAATATAATAAATAAAATAATAGCAGTTTTTGTTTATGCCGAAATTTGACTGTACTTCCACATCAGAGTTTCAGGCTAGCTTGATCCATAAGACCTTATCTTTAAATAAATAATTAATAAATGTGCTGGGAATATAGCATAATTTTAGAGTTCTTGTCTATCATATATAAGGTTCTAAATTCAGTTCTCAGCATCACAAAAAGAAACGGGACAGTGAGATACTGCTAAGCCTGATGAGAGTTCACAGAGTGGAAGGAGTGAACTGACTCTTGCAAGTTGTTCTCTGGGTTACACACACGCACCATGGCATTCGTACAGAAATAAAGACTAATAGCCACCTTTAATACCTTTCTAGAAATAAAGTCTAATAACTACCTTTAATTACATTTGTGAGGCAGAGACAGGTAGATCTTGGAATTTATGGCCAGCCTGGTGTACTGGACGAGTTCCAGGACAGCTAGAGCAGCACAGAGAAGCCCTGTCTCAACAACAACAATAACAACAAACAAACGAAAAAACAAAAGCAATAAAAATAGCAAAACCCAATAACCAAACAAGTGAAGAAATACTTTTCTTAGTCCCTACTGTGATTCATGTAGGAAATGCTGGTGATGTCAAAGGATAGCTAAATTTCCATAGATATACTCTCGAAATGTAATTTTTGGTTCTCCTTTGTACCCTGATTTTCGTTCCTCTTGGGACCTCAGGATAGCAATAGTCAAGAAATTGAGTTTTTCTTTTTTTGTTGTTGTTGATTCTTTTTTTTTTCACTAAAGCAAGGCTGCCAGGTCACTAGAGAGGTCTTACCTCTACAAAGACTGGACTATTGCTAACTAAGCAGACTAAGCCTCTCTCTTCTCTTATTTTCTTTTTTCTTTTTTTTTTTAAGATTTATTTAATTATTATGTAGGCAGTATTTTGTCTGCTTGTATGCTTGCTGGCCAGAAGAGGGCACCAGATCTCATTACAGATGGTTGTGAGCCACTATGTGGTTGCTGGGAATTGAACTCAGGACCTCTGGAAGAGCAGTCCATGGTCTTTAACCTCTGAGCCATCTCTTCAGCCCAGCCCTGTTGTTGATTTTTGTTTTGTTTTGTTTTGTTTTGTTTTTTTGAGATAGGTTTTCTCTATGTAGCGTTGGAACCTGTCCTGGAACTCATTCTGTAGATCAGGCTGGTCTTGAACTCACAGAGATTGACCTGCCACTGCTTTCTGAGTGCTAGGATTAAAGGCGTGCACCACCACCACCGGGCTGTTTTTCTTGATATTTTTTTATTTTTATTTTATAATTTATTTATTATGTATACATGTTCTGTGTGTAGGCCAGAAGAGGTCACCAGATCTATTACAGATGATTGTGCACCACCATGTGGTTGCTGGGAATTGAACTCAGGACCTTTGGAAGAGCAGTCAGTGTTCTTAACCTCTGAGCCATCTCTCCAGCCTGTTTTTCTTGATATAAGAGAAACATTCCTTTACTTTTTTTTTCTTTTTAATTTGCTTATAAATTAAACTTTAAAATGTTATGAGCCAGGTGAAGTCGTTCATGTTTATAATCCCTACATTTGGGAAGCTAAAACTAGAGGATTATCATAAATTCAAGACAAGACTGTATGATGTGTTGAGATCCTGTTTCATATAGTAAAGAAAGAGTATTTTGGGCAAATGGATAAAGGTGTTCAGACTCTTTATTATAATGGTTGATTTAATGTAAAGTTTTGCTGCTATTACTTTTTCTTGTTTCAATAGTCTGTCCCTTTGCTCAAACTTTTGGGGACCACCTCCTAGGATAACCTCTTTACTATACCCTCTGATTATATATTTATTTATGTACATTTGTGTTTTGCTTGTGTGTATGCCTGTGTAAGAATGTCGGCTTCTCGGGGGCTGGAGAGATGGCTCAGTAGTTAAGAGCATTGCCTGCTCTTCCAAAGGTGCTGAGTTCAATTCCCAGCAACCACATGGTGGCTCACAACCACCTGTAATGAGGTCTGGTGCCCTTTGCTGAAATGCAAGCATAATGCAGACAGAATATTGTACACATGATAAATAAATAAATATTTAAAAAAAAAAAAAAGAATGTCGGCTTCTCTGAAACTAGTCACAGACAGTTGTGAGCCACCATTTGGGTGCTTTTACCTGGGTCCTCTGGAAGAGCAGTCAGTGCTCTTAACTACAGAGCCATTTTTCCAGCCCGTACTATCTGATTTTTGTCTTACCTGAGCTATCAGGTACCTTGAATGTTCTCTGCCACTCAGCTATATATCTCCAGTTATTGGTGTTTTGAGACAGGATCATACCCTGAGGCCCAGGCTGGCCATGAACCTGAACCCCTTGCCTCTAATGCTAGGACTAGAAGTATGTCCCATCATGCCTGGCCTTAACTATCTCTTAGTCTAGAACAGACCATTTCTCCCCACCCCTTTCATTATTAGGGTATTACTTTAGTAGGTACTAAACACAGATGTGTGCCATAAAATAAATATTTAAAGGTGGCAGTGCACACCTTTAATCTCAGTATAATGAGGTGGCCTCTGTGAGTTCAAGGCTAACATGGTCTATAGAGTGAGATTGAGGCTATGTGGTAAACTCTTGTCTAAAAATAATAATAAAGAAACAAAATGAAATAAATGATTAAAACTGGTGTGGGAGATGCATACCTATAGTTACAGTTCTTGACGGGGTTGAGATGAGATGATGATGCTTAAGTCTAGTAGTTGGAGACCAAGCTGGGTAACATATGTAGACTCCATGGTAAAAATGAACATGAAAAGATAGAAATCAAATTAAAAAAATGCAATAATGTGTGTGTGTGTGTGTGTGTGTGTGTGTGTGTGTGTTTATGTATATTTTATGAGGCATTACAAACTTTGTTAGGAGAGGCTAAAATGGGGAGGGTAACCTTTTAGAAATATTAGGCATTAATTTTTTTAATAATTCTTTTAGGTTTAATTGGCACTTATGTTTCCAAGTATAGTGTAGTTTGAGAGTTGTTTCTTATGAAAATAATTGTTTATTTGTTTGTTTGTTTTACAGTGGGCAAATCAAACTAGCAGATTTTGGGCTTGCTCGGCTATATAACTCTGAAGAAAGGTACGGCATTCATTAAAACTCCATATGAGAAGGTTTATTTGTGTGTCATGATTTAAGGCCAACTTTGACATGGCAAGAGCACTATTTCAAATGAAAAAAATAAGTTAAACTCCGTGTGGGAATTAGAGGAGAATCCTTTTAATTTTTTGATATTCAAATTCTACAAATTATAGTGACTATTAAAACTCCTTAAGTATTTGAATGTGTTCCAACCTAAATATTTTTGTTTGTTTGCTTGTTTTTGTTTATTTGCTTTTGAGACCGTTTTCTTTATGTTCCACTCAGTGTGCTAGAACTCATAGAAATACACACCTGCCTCTGTCTGCATAGTTGCATAGTGTTGGAATTAAAGGTGTGAGCCATCATGCCCAGGCTCTTTTTTTTTTTTTTTAAAAGACTCCTTTTGTTTTTAATCTTATATGGGTTGCTTTCACATACTTGAGTTAAGTGGTATCAAATCCTCTTGAAATTGGGTTTGTGTTGTGTCATGTGTATTTGTGTCCATTTATGTCTGAGTGTCTTCCACGTGTGTGTGGATTGCTGGCATTAAAGGCATGTGCTATCATCTCATGTACCACCTAGATCTAAGTAGACACTACCTACATTCTTCAGTCAGCCCTTCACTGAAATAAGTTAACAAAAATTGGACTAGAAGTGATTTCATCTTTCACTTCTGTACAGCTTCCTTTTGACCTGCCAATTTGCTGTTGGAATTGGTTTAACAATCTCATCTTCAATTGGCAGCTATTTCCATTGGTTTTTAGTAACACATTTTCCATCAAATGCCATTGTATATTTACAACCTTATGGTTTTATGTTTCAGTCGCCCTTACACAAACAAAGTCATTACTTTGTGGTATCGACCTCCAGAACTGCTACTGGGAGAGGAGAGATACACACCAGCCATTGATGTTTGGAGCTGTGGGTAAGACTCTTTTAGCCTTTCGCTTTGTCTGTAACTCACATAGTATTAGCATATACTGTTTCCTTTCTATGTTAGCACTTTTGTCTTTCATCCTAAGTGTATGTACACTTACACACATGCATAAATATATATAAAAGTAAATTATATATATATATATATATATATATATATATATATATTTTAAAAAAGGGAAACAATTTAGCAACTTGTTTCAGTTGCCTAGTCTTTCCTGAGTCTGGTAATGCTTCTGTCTTAGCCTCCAGTTAGCTTATCTCAAGTCTTTGAATTAACATTCCCCTTTCATCTCTCATGATTGTCATTTGTTTATTTAACAGACTCTATAGAAAACTGGATCATTTATTCTATAGACTTCTCACAGGCTGAGTATCTGTTGTTGTCACTGTCATTTTAAAAAAAAAGAAAATGCTAGGATTGGAATGTAGCTCAATTACTTGTCTGCCTAGTGCGTGAAATCCTGGGTTTAATATTCAGTATTAAAGGCTAGTTATGTCATTTTGTGACCAATTTTCAAAGTAGTGAGATGGTTTTTCTACTGTCATGCAAAAATGATTTGTTTTGCCGGGCATTGGTGGCACACACCTTTAATCCCAACAGTCAGAAGGCAGAGGCAGGTGAATCTTTGTGAGTTCGAGGCAAGCCTGGTCTACAGAGCTAGTTCCAGGACAGGCTCCAAAGCTACAGAGAAACCCTGTCTCGAAAATCCAAAAAAAGAAAAAAGAAAAAGAAAAAGAAAAAAAACATGATTTGTTTTATTGGTTTTCTTATTTGTTATATTCATTAGGAACTGATAGACTTACATATTTGATGTAACAATTGTACTCTTTTTAAAAATACATAATTATTTGTGAAAGTGTGTGAGAGGGAAAGAGAAAAGAGGAGAATAGAAGAGAGCAAGCCTGAGCATATACCACACTTCTGGGAGTGCCCGTTTAATTCTGAAAAGGGTATCAGATCCTTTAGGGCTAGACAGGAAGTTGTGAGTTGACTGATAAGGTACTAGGAACCAAACTCTGGTCCTCTTCAGGACAAGAAAGTACTCTTGATATTTTAGCCATTTCTCCAGGTTTTATTGTACTAATTCTTTTTCAGACTTTCTAATTTTTGTCTAGTCTAAATTTGATCAGGTTAGTTGTTGAATACTCTTGATTCGTTGTTAATAATCTTTAACAGTCTTCCTCGTTTTCATGTTCCAGCCTTCTATCTGCTGTCAGCCATTTCTCTTAAGGAGTGTTCTTTTTTGATCTGTTTACTCCCACCCCCTTCACTTCTTTCCTTTTCATTTTCTACTCAGGGTCTCTCTAGCCCTGGCTATGTTGATTTACACTATAGACCAGTCTGACTTCATATTTGTGGCAGTCTTTCTGCATCTTCCTCCTAAATACTGGGTTTGTAAGTGTGTACCAACATAGTTACTCTGAATTTTTTTTTTCTTTTTAGCTCAGGGTGTCATCAAACTCTTTGTATAGCCCAAGAAATCCTTCAACTCCTAATTTTTCTGCATCTAACTGCCAAGTATTGGGATTACAGTATTGGGATTGTATAATATTCCTGGCTTGAAAATGAAATTAGAAGCTACATCTATGTTAAGGATCAAAGTGTTTTTATTTTTATTTATTCTTTTGAGACAGGGTCTTGTTATATAGTCCTGACAGGCTGGGGAGTTGTTACATAGTCTAGGCTGACCTGGAGCTCAGCCACTCTGTCCCCTCAAGTACTTAAGCATGTACCACCATGCAAGGGGCCTAAATATTCTGAATGTTCCACATTTGTTATTTGTTTGTAGGTAGTGTGGCACACTGCTGACATCTTTCATTGGTTATAATTCTCACATCCATACTTTCTAAAATAGTGTGTCATCTTTCCCATTTTTCTCCCTTCCTTTTCTGTAAGGTAGTGCTATAGTTTTTATAATTCAACAAGATGGTAGCCTATCTAAATTAAATGATGCTTTAATTAAGTTTAAATGACTGAAATTGGGTATATTTATATTCAAAAACCCATTTTATTATAGCTAAGCTTTAAAGTTAACAACCTATTAAGATGAAGGAGGAAGAGCTAGAGGCAGGGAAATTGGGTTCAGAGTCATCCTTAAGGCCAACCTGGGCTACATGAGAGACTCTTATCTCAAAAAATTTTTCAGTCTGCGCATCCTGCTAGCTTACTGTGATGACTCAAATGTTGATTGCATGATGAAGTAGTTTTTCTCACCACAGGACTGGAAACTGAAATCAAAGAAAACTCTGAAGCAGAGACAGTATGGTGGCACACAGCTGTCATTTTAGCACTTAGAGGTCCAAATCTGGGCAGAAAGTATAAAGAGTAGTTAAATTATATATGAAGCAGTTGACAAATGGAGTCAGGAAGATTAGAAATTCAAGATCTAACTGGGTGGCTGTGGCAGTGTAGACTTTTAATCCCAGAACCAGGCAGACACAGGTGGATCTCCGAGTTCATGAGACTACAGAATGGGTCTAGGACAGCCAGAGCTGCATAGAAAAACCCTGTGTGGAAACTTCCCCCGAACCCTCCCCCCCAAAAAAGTTACAAGGTCTTCGCAGGTTTCTCAATAAGTTTGAGAACACTGTCTCCAAAATAAATAAAGCTATCTATTCTTTTGTGATTTTCTTTTTTGATGCTCTCCTATTTTACTAGTTGATTTAAAACTGTGCTTAAAAGTTAATTTGAGGGGTTAGAGAGATGGCTCAGTGGTTAAGAGCATTGCCTACTCTTCCAAAGGTCCTGAGTTCAATTCTCGGCAACCACATGGTGGCTCACAAACATCTGTAATGAGGTCTGGCCTGCAGGCACATATGCAGACAGAATATTATATACATAATAAATAAATAAATTTTTAAAAGGTTAATTTGACAGTTAGTAATGAAAACAAACCTTATTTTTGCTTTTTTACCTCTGACTAAACTTTGAAAGAATTAGTTACCCACTAATCAAATTAAGGAAGACATTAAAAAAGTTAATAAAGCAAATTTTACGTGATGTAAAATTTTGTTTTAGTACATTTTAGGCTCATAGAATGAGGCATCGTGAGTGGCGCAGGCCTTTAATCCCAGTTCTTCAAAGTCAGAGACAAGTGGATCTATCTCTCTGAAGAATGCCTGATTGATCTACATAGCAAGTTCTAAGCCAGCCAGGTATAAGTAGTGAGACCCTTTCTCAAAGAAAAGATGAAAGAATCAGAAGAGGAGAAAGAGGAAGAAGGCAATAAAAATACTGGTAGAGGGGCTGGAGCCAGTAAAGTTGGCTCAGTGATTAATAGCACTTGATGCCCTTGCTGAGGAACCTGGGTTTGGTTCCCACCATCAACCCATAACTCCAGTCCCAGGGGATTTTGATATCTTTGATCTCCAGGGCATGTGCATAAACATGTTTATACCCCCATCCCAACACACATAATACATATAATTTAAAATAAAATTCTTGGGGTGTAGAAGGAATGCTCAGCAGTTGAGAGCACTTGCTGCTCTTCCTGTGGATGACCATAGATCAGTTCTAGTATACAGAATAGGCAATATTCGTAATTCCAGCTCAAGGGGATAAAATACTTCTAGCCTCCAAGAAACCCATATATAAATAATAAAAAAATAAGCCAGACAGTGGTTGTTCACACATTTAATCCCAGCGTTTGGTAGGTAGAGACAGGTGGATCTCCATGAGTTCAAGGCCAGCGTGGTCTACAAGAGCTAGTTCCAAGACAGACTTGATAGCTACAGTGAAACCCTATCTCAAAAAAACAAAAACATCTTTAAAATGAGGTGTGAGTATGATCAAAATACATTTTATTGAATTCTCAAAGAATCAAAGAAAATATTTTATTTAAATAAAAGTGTATACAGTGTCCATGGTGGTGGTAAAGGTCTGAAATCCTGACATTTTGGAGGTGGTGGCTGAAGAATTGGGAGTTCAGGGCCAGCCTAGGCTATATGAGAATATATGTCCCTAAAGCTCAACAAAAAATACATTAAAATAATTAGCAACACAATATTGGCTTTTTTCCCCCCTTCTTTTTTTGTTCTTCAAGACAGGGTTTCTAGGGTTTCTCTGTAGTTTTAGAGCCTGTCTTGGAACTAGCTCTTGTAGACCAGGCGGGTCTCGAATTTACAGAGATCCACCTGTCTCTGCCTTCCAAGTGCTGGGATTAAAGATGTTCGCCGCCACCAACGAACTAATATTGGCGTTTCTTTGTTTGTTTGTTTTGTTTTTATATTGGCGTTTTTTAATTTTTTGTTTCTTAAATGTTTTTGGAAAACATCTTTTTGTCTATATCCCCTGGCTGTTCTGGAACTCATTATGAAGACTGCTAGGCTGGCATCCAACTCAGATCCAGCATTTTTCCTCCCAAGTGTTGTGATTGAAGGGGTGCATCACAACCTTCAGCATATTTTTATTTAGGTACACGTAAATGTCTGTATCTTGGTATGTGTCCTCCAATATAGTGCCCATTGAGGCCAGAGGCTTCAGATTCCCTAGAGTTGAAGCTACAGATTGTTTCAGACAGAGGAAATGTATGGAATATTCATATTTTTCCCCTTTACATTTATCTGAAATACTTTCAAGAAATATCATCTTATATAACCATAATATAATTATGAAAATCAAGAAATTTTAAAATACCTGGACAGTATAGTGCAAACCTATAATTTTGAACCCAATCATGGAGGCAGGAAGATCCCAATTTTGAGGTCAACCCGAGAGCTAATTAGGAAAGGAAGTTTAGCATTGTATAGGATAAATATACAGTCCTTATTTCAGTTTTATCCTTATACTAATAATGTCCTAGAGATAACTCTTTGTTTACTTCAGGATTGAACATTATACTAGTTTGTTTTTTATTTTTTAAAACCATTTCTCTGCTGTTGTACATCCTAGTTTCTAACATGTAGGTTCATGTGATCCTTCCACCAAAGTTTTTATTTAACAGTTTTATTTATTTTATTGTGTGTTCAAATATTTTGTTTACGTGTATGTATTTATGTTTTCCATTATATGTCTGGTATATACAGAGCTCAGAAGAAGGTATTAGATTCCCTGGGAATGGAATTACAGATTGTTTGAGCCACCATGTAGTTGCTGGGAATTAAACCCAGGTCCTCTTCAAAAACAAGTGATCTTAATCACTGAGATACCTCTTTAACCCTGATGTTTCTTTTTTCTGATGTTTTATTTTATTTATATTTGGTTACATGTGTGATGTGTATGCATGTCAAAGTGTGTGTTTCCCTTTTGTTATTTGCTGCTTGCCCAACTTCGAAGGATTCTCCCATCTTGCTATAGTATCATTGGGATTATAGCCACACCGCCACACTCAGCTAATGTGCCATATGTCGATTCAAACACAGCTCTCAATCCTTGCTTGACCCACTGAACCATCTCTCTGGCTCTGCGTTTCCATTTCAAAATAACAAAGGTATTTAGACAGAAATTATTTAAAAGTCTTGATGAAATTGATTTTAGCTGATAATACATTGGTTTCTTTGTAATTGTATTGCCAGAGGGGTTATCATAGTATTGCATAGTTCTACAAAAGAAAGTTAATGATGAAAAGTTAATTTTTTGTTGAAACAGCTAACTATCCTTGTAAAATTGTCTGTAATTCCTTAGATTATCATGGTTATCGAGACATAATTTAGATAGGCTCAAAGGATTTCTTTCTAACCGTTAAATTTTATTCTTTTAGATGTATCCTTGGGGAACTGTTCACAAAGAAACCTATTTTTCAAGCCAATTTGGAACTGGCTCAGCTAGAACTGATCAGGTACTGTTAGACATATACCTTTAAGTGCCTGCTTCTTAAACTTATTTCACTCTTAGCCTATTTTCATCTGAGAAGATTTTTACATAACTCCAGGTAGTAGAAGTATCTAATGTTTACTGATGATAAATTTTAAATTTATTTTAAAGTAGTCTTTGGCGTAAACTTATAATTTATTAAAGGTAAAATTAAACTTGTATAGTAATAAAATATGCTTGTTTATTTTTATAGTTGAATTTATTTTAATTTATGTGTGGGCATGTGCATATGGATGTCAGCCTTGTACTCTTATAACTTTTTGATCTTTGGACCCCATGGTCCAAATATACCACTACTTGTCCAATGACTTCCACAAATACTCATGTACAACTCACGCAAAGAAAGAAGTAAGTAGAAAAAAAACTATTTTTAGATACCAGGTGGAACGGGGGAGATAGCTCAGCAGTTAAGATCACTGACTGCTTATCCAAAGGACCTGAGTTCAGTTCCTATCATCCAAATAGCAGCTCAAAACTATCTTTGGCTCCAGTTCCATGAAATGTGACACCCTCTCACAGATATACATGCAGGCAAAACCTCAATGCACATAAAATAAAAGTAAATGTTAGAAAAAGTAAACCAGGCATAGTGGCACTTGTCTTTAATTCCAACACTTGGGAAGCTAGAGGCAGACCTGGTCGACATAGTTAGTTCTTGACAAGTCACCATTACATAGTGACATCTTGTTTCAACATAAATAATGTAAATAAAAGAAATAGTTGGAAAACCATTTATTTTTTTAATGAAGCCCCAGTGATTAACTCAAATAGTTTTTAAAATGAAAATATTCTAACATAATACAACTTAAACATAGAATAATTTGATACTTACATCCTTAAGAATGGTGGTAGGGATTTACTTTTAATTTTTATTTTTACTTTTTGTGCATTGTTGTGTTTGCGTGTATGTATGTCTGTTCGAGGGTGTCAGATATTGGAGTTACAGACAATTGTTAATCCCTGAACCATCTCTTCAGCCTGTAGGAATTTATTAAAAGCTCTTTTTTATTTTCGGAGAGGGGCAGGGTAGTATTCCTGGCTATACTAGAGCTTGCTATAAGATCAGACTAGTTTAGACCACACAGAGATACTCCTGCCTTTTGAGTGCTGGGATTAAAGGTTTGTACCACCAGGCCTGGCTAAAGTTTTTGTTTTCCTTCCTTTTTTTTTTTTTTTTCCCATGTTTGTTTTTTTCAAGATAGGGTTTCTCAGTACCCCTGACTGACCTTAAACTCCAGGATCCTGACTAACCGTGCTTTCAGAGTGCTGGGGTTAAAGACATGTACAACCACACCCAGATAGTTTCTAAAAGAACCAGAAGCTAAATATATTGTAAGACACTGCAGTTTACAACATGATAGTCTCAAATCTGAGCTGAGGTATTTTAGACCGTGTTCATTAGCATTTTGTGGGATTATACCACTCACAGTGCAAGTTTGTTATGTGTTCAGAATTAAGATTCAATGAAGGCATACAACACAACACTGGGGAATGCTGTCAGAAACATCTCAGACTTAGCACACATTTGATTTCTAGTTAGCTTTTTGGTTGTTTTATGTATTACTGTTGCCAAATTTGTCATGATCCAGTCATGCAACCCTTAGTCATAACCCACACTTTTAAATGTAGGTAATGAATAGATAATGAGATCCTTCAATTTATATAACATTTTTCAATTATTCCATCAGATGATATAATAAATTTCTCTTTGCTCAGTTCAGCATGCCATCTCTTTTGTGTCAGCCTGTAGACATAGAAATTCAGTTTTAGGGGAATGGAGAGATGGCTCGGCAGTTAAGAGCTGTTTTTGTTCTTGAAGAGGATCTGGGTTTTGTTTCTATCACCATCAGTGTAGTTCATAACCAGCCATATGTTTCTGTTTTTCAAGATCGGGTTTGTTTTAGTATCCCCTTGGCTGTCCTTGAACTGACTCTATAGAGCAGGCTGGGTTGAACTCAGAGACCTACCTACCTCTGCCTCCCCAGTGATGGTGTTAAAGGTGTGTGCCACCATGTGTTTTTAATTTTATGTAATTGAGTGTTTACTTGCATATATGTAATTTCACCACATGCATGCTTGGTGCCATTGGAAGCCAAATGAAGGCATTGGATCCTGTAAAACTGGAGTTACTAGAGGCTGTCAGCTGCCATGTGGGTGCTGGGAACTGAACCTGTATCCTACTTAAAGTGCTTTTAACCTCTGAACCTCCTCTTCAACTCTATGTCTAAATCTTACCTTCTTCTTTTTATTCTTTGTCATATACAAAGATGCTTTATTTGAGAACAGTGTTGCTTTTAATACTAACTTTGTAGAAGGCCAAGGCAGTAAGAATCATTAAAGTTTGAGTTCAAGGCCAGCTTGAGCAAAGTGAGTTCCCATCTCAAAAATAGAAATTGAAAAAACTGGGGCTGGAGAGATGGCTCAGAGGTTAAGAGCATTGCCTGCTCTTCCAAAGGTCCTGAGTTCAATTCCCAGCATCCACATGGTGGCTCACAACCATCTGTAATGGGGTCTGGTGCCCTCTTCTGGCCTGCAGGCATACACACGGACAGAATATTGTATACATAATAAATAAATAAATATTTTTTAAAAAAAAGAAATAGAAAAAACTGGCAAGATGGCTCAATGGGTAAAGGTACTTGTTCCAAGATTGATGACCTGAGTTCACTCACTAGTACTCATGAAGGAGACACTCCCAAAAGTATCCACTAACTTTTTCAAATGGAAAAATACAATTGTTGTCTATGAACCTTTAACTCCTCATATGATGCCTCGTGGTTGGTGCGGTGTCAGTGTTTGTAAAGCCAAATGTGCAATGGGCTAGTGAGGTCACTTCTTGGGTACACAGGTGCTTACCATTATGTCTGACAACAAAATTCTATCTGCAGGAGCCACATAGTAAAAAGAGAGAACTGACTCCTGAAAGATATTTTCTGATCTCTACTAGTGTGGTGTGGCATACGCACCACTTCCCACAAAAACACATAAATGTAAATGTAATTGAAATCATTAAAACAATAAAAAGTAAAATGGGAGCTGGGTAGACAGTTCAGTGGTAAAGTATTTGCTGTGCAGTTTAGGATAAAGCTGAATTTGATCCCCAAGAACCTATATATAAAAAAGCTAGGTGTCTTATTGCATGCTTGTGACATCAGTGCTAGTGAGGCAGAAATAGATGATCTTAACACTCACTGACCAGAGCGAGTTTATTGCCTTCAACAAAGAAAGGGCTACAAGAATAAACCTGTCTCAAAACCAAGGTGAATAATGTTTAAGGAACAGCTTCTGAAGTTTATCTCCATATGGACATACTTACCCACAAATAAAGCATGCTGTTTTTTCTTTTGTTTTTGTTTGGATGGCTACTTTATTCTTAGCTTTAGCTCAGTGCAAGGAAAGAAGTGTTGCTGGCCATGGTGGTGCACACCTTTAGTCGCAGCGTTTGGGAGACAGAGGCAGGTGGATCTGTATTTCAGGACAGCATGGTCTACAGAGTGAGTTCCAGGACAACCAGAGCTACAGAGAGAAACCCTGTCATGAAAAATAACCAAACAAAGAGCATAATTCTTAATGGAATACATGTTTTCTTTCTCCTTTGACCATGTTGGTCCTGACCTGAGGATTGAACTCAAATCAGGCTTGGCAGGAGGAGTTTTCTCACTGAACTGTTTTTCTAGCCACAGTTTTAAAATGTAATCTCTACATAGACAATTTAGGGATGGCTTGAAGAATGGAATTTTGGCACCTCTTGTTATACTTTGCTTTTATCGTTTTTCCTTTTCTATTCTCTGTTCCTTTTTCTTTTGGATTATATTTTTGTTTGATTTTTCATTTTAAAGCAGAGTCTCTCTTTATAGACCATACTGGCCACAAATTTACAATCCTTTAACATCAGCCTCCTAAGTGTTTTGATTATAGGCATGTATGACATTTCCTTTTTCTTATTCAGTAAAATGTATTGGAAAAACATTACAAGCAAATGTAGATATAAACAGTGATATATAACTCATTATTGTAATAATAATAAATGCTCAGTTATGTATAAACATCTCTTTCTTTTAAAAAAGGAATAAAGTCTAGGCAGTGGTGGTTCATGCCTTTAATCTCAGCACTCGGGAGGCAGAGGCAGATGGATCTCTGTAAGTTTGAGGCCAGGCTGATCTACAGAGCGAGTTCCAGGACAGACAGGACTGTTATAGAAAAACCTTGTCTCAGAAAAACAAAACAAAAACCCAAAAAAAGAAAAAGGAGGGGAAAAAAAAGAAGCAAAACAGGTTCTTTGTAGCCCAGGCTGTCCAGGAACTTGCTATATAAACCAGAGTAGATTCACCTGCCTCTAACTCCAAAGTGCTGGGATTAAAGGTGCGCACCATCTCTTAAAATTTTTCCTATTTGAAATTAATTCTGCCAGATGTGGGGTGGCCTCTGGAAGAAGAAAGAGACAGGTTCTTGATCTCTGTGAGTTCCAAGGCTCTCCTTGTCTATGTAATATGTCCTGTAAAGCCAGGCCTACATAATAGAGAGACCTGGTCTGTTCCAAAGGAGAGAGAGAGAGAGATAGAAAGGAAATAATTCTAAGTGAATAAAATAAAATTGATGATGAGAATGAAAACCTTTTGTAAAACATGCTTTATAAAATATGTGAATCATTTTGGATTGTATTTTCAATAGTTTTCTCTTGCTTTCTTTCAGTATTTCCAGTATGTTTTCTTATAACCAGTTCTCTTATATTGCGTCTCCTTAGAGGAGTAAAGTCATACTTTACTTTTTTTTGATACCTACTAATGTAATAAGTCATAGATTTCCCAGATCCAAGAGGATAATTTCTCCTTCAAGAAACTCTAGAAGTCATGATACTGATGATTTACTTCATTTTACGTGGCTTTTTGCTGTCTTTTCAGTCGTCTCTGTGGTAGCCCTTGTCCAGCAGTGTGGCCTGATGTTATCAAGCTGCCCTACTTCAACACCATGAAACCGAAGAAGCAATATAGGAGACGTCTAAGAGAAGAATTCTCTTTGTGAGTTTAACACAATCTTATATCTCTTTTCTGTTTCTAGCTTTTGTTGGGACTTAATTTTTACTGATAAGCCCAATTTATTACAACAACATTTTAATTACATTTTATTTTAAAAATATTTTTCTTTATTTTGACCTGGTTACTAGTAGCGCATGTTTTTTATCCCAGCACTTGGGAGGCAGAGGCAGACAGATCTCTGTGAGTTTGAGCCCAGCCTAGCCTACAAGAGCTAGCTAGTTCTTGGACAGCTAGGACAGCCAGAGCTACACAGAGAAACCCTGCCTCGAAAAACAAAACAAACAAACAGAAAAGATTTATTTATTTTATGTGCATTGGTGTTTCACATGTGCAAGGGTGTTGGATCACCTAGAACTGGAGTTACAATGTGAGCTGCCATATGGGTGCTAGGAATTGAGCCCAGGTCCTCCTGAAAAACAGCCAGTGCCCGTAATCACTGAACCATTCCTGCAGCCCCTTGATTGCATTTTTGTTGTTGCTTCGTTTTATTTGCCTGAGACAGTCTCACTGTGTAGCTTTGGTTAGACTGGAACTCACCACATAGACTAGTCTGGCCTCAAACTCATAGAGACCCATCTGACTCTGTCTCTCGAGTGCTGGGATTAAAGATGTATTCCACTAAGCCCAGTCACATTCATTCATTTATGTATTTGTGTGTGGAGGTCAGAAGATAATTTTCAGGAGTCCTTTTTTTGGGGGGGGGGGGGTTTCAAGGCACAGTTTCTCTGTATCTTTGGAGCCTGTGCTGGAACTCGCTTTATAGACCAGGATGGCCTAGAACTCACAGAGATCTGCCTGCCTCTGCTGCCCAAGTCCTGGGATAAATGCATGTGCCGCCACCACCGCCCAGCTAGGAGTCTAATCTCTTTGCCCATGTGGATCCCAAGGATATAATACTGGCTTGGGAGCAGAAACCTTTACCACAGGAGCTGCCTCAGCTAGCCCATTGTAGACATTTTATTTTATTCTTTTATTTTATATATGTGCATGTTTGCCTACATGCATGTATGTATACCATGTTTGTGTCTGATGCCTGCAGAGGGCAGAAGAGGGTATTGGATGTCATGGAATTGAAGTTTGAAAGAGTGCAAGCTGCCATGTGGGTACTGGAAATTGAACCTGGGTTCTCTGTAAGAGTGCCTAGTGCTCTTAACCTCTGAGCCATCTCTCCAGCCTTTGACACTTTATTTTTGAATAGTTTTTTTCTGTCAGACTCTATTTCTGATTTTCTCTTCCGAAGGCCTTGGACAAATGCAAACCATTTTATTTTCAACAACTTGTGGATTTCCTTATAGTCCTTTTGATCTTCCTAAGGAAAGAGAACAGAATTGTTGCTTTTTAAGTTTTTATGTGCATTGTAGCATTTCTTAAATTGTGGCTCAGATCTTGTTGCTTGCATTAGCCAGTTTCCAATTTCCTTGCTCAGTCTTACATGGAAATGGAAATTCATATAATTTTTGATACAGGTTTGCAGGTTTGAGAACTAAGGGAATGTTGTGAGTTTTTGATTTCTCTGTTCCATTCTATAGCATTCCTTCAGCAGCTCTTGATTTATTGGACCACATGCTGACACTTGATCCTAGCAAGCGTTGCACAGCTGAACAGACCCTGCAGAGTGACTTCCTTAAAGATGTGGAACTCAGCAAAATGGCACCTCCAGAGTGAGTATTGTTGACTGTATAATGATTCTAAACTTCCTCCTTGACTCAGAAAATGAGAAACTTAAAAAGGTTTAAAATCAAAATAATTTAAATTCAAAATAAAATTTGTAGTCAGTGCTAATGGAGTGTTAACTGTGGATAAGGTTGGATTAAGTAAAGAATAAATTTAACCATATTTGTTTAGTCTGGTTCAAGCTATTTTCTTTTGTTTCTAGATCTCTATTGTTTATTGTGATAAACAATGTCTTTGAAAGTGTTCCTTATAGGTTTTGCTCTTAACCATTCCTTCTGTTTTAATCATTTATGTTGTGACTATTTATTTTCTACACTGCAAGAACAGTTCTAATTTTAAATAGTTTGTAACATTGTCAGGTTAGTAATTTTTTTCATTTTTTGAGACCAGGTTCTTGAGCTCATACAGATCTGCCTACTTTTGTCTCCTTGAATTTTTATGTAAATATATAGTCTTAATGTTTCTCTTTCATCATAATTTATCTTTTACTTTCTTCATTTGTGTGTGTGTGTGTGTGTGTGAGCACGCGTGCATATATATAGGCCACAGCCCTTGTATAGAGGTTAGAGGACAACTTGAGAGTCAGTGCTTGGATTCTGCTGCTAGGGCCTTTGCTACCTTGGCCATCTCTAGGGCCCTCTTTCATGACAATTTTATGAATAGAATGTACATTAGAGGATCTTCCGAGGTTCTATACCCTCATTCAACTTCATAGCGCATACAAGATCCTTTGTCTTTGAACATATCACTGGCAGTATTAATGGCTTTTGTGCTAGATTTATTTTTGTTTCTTTGTTTTTTGTTTATGCCAGTACTATGATCCTTGTATGTGTTAGTCAAATCATTATTTTACCACTAAGCTGTGTTCCCAAGCAGCCTCTTGTTTTTGCTGGGTTTTGTTTTTGTTTTGTTTTCTTTCGGTTGTTGTTATTTTGTATGCTTGTTTTTTTATTCATTTTGCTATTTTTTATGCATTTATGTAAATGGTTGCCTGTGGGGGCCAGAAGATGGTGTCAGAGTCCCTGCAACTTTCAGCTGCCAGACATGGGTCCTGGGAACTCAAGTTATGTGCAAGAACAACCCACGCTCTTATCTACTGAACAATTTCTCCAGCCCTTTAGTGTGTTTGTTTGGGGGATTTTTTTTTCTTGTTGTTTGAGTTGTGGGGTGGTCTCACTGTGTTGAACTTAGCATCCTCTTGCATCATTAATTTTCTTGCCACACAAAGGAATGGCCACTTTTAATTGCAGCTCAATCAAGCGTTCGGGTTAGCCTGATAATATCTTCCAAAGTAAAGGAAAAGAAAAGGATTTAGATAAGTACATGTATAGATGGTAACTATTTTATTGCTCCAAAGATCTGTGCAAATTTATTTTGATAGATTTGATATATATTTTTTTTGATGTATAAGCTTTTTACTGAAATTTGGAAACTAGTATATAGTTTTGTTTGCTTGTTTGTCCTTTTTTTTTTGAAACACAGTGTAACCCTGGGTGACCTGGAACTCACTAAGTAGACCAGGATAGCCTGAAACTAACAAGATCCCACTTTATTCCTTAAGAAAGTTGATGATATCCAATCATGGAAATTCAGTTAATGATTTGCAAATTGATGATTAAATCATGATATGTTTATATAGTCCCAAGATTTAAATCACTGTCTCTTCTCTTTTCACATTGTGTGTGTGTTCATGCTCTTGCCAGGCCTCAGGTCAGGTCCAGTTGTGGGAGTTGATTCTCTTTTTCTATCATGTGAATTCAAAATTGTACTCAGGATTTTAATGCTAGGTGGCAAGTTAATTTACCTACTGAGACATCTCTCAGCCCCTTCCTAGCCTTTCATAACTATTAATAAACTGTTCATTTCTGCACTTACATTTATCTTCAAATGAAACATGACCAGTAAAGTTCTCTTTATTCATTTTACACCAACAAAAAGATTATTTGACTATGTGGAAGTTGGTTCTAGTATTATTTCTTAATACTTCCACAAACTTCCACCTGCAATAATTCTTTTTGTATTGCATTCTGATATTTTTGTTCTTTATTCTATTTTTCATGTTCCTTTCTTTTCTATTTTGATTCATTATTCTTACATTTACTCACTACTTATTCCTCCTTTGTTTGGTGTTTTTCCAGCCTACCTCACTGGCAGGATTGCCATGAATTGTGGAGTAAGAAACGTCGACGCCAACGACAAAGTGGTATTGTAATAGAAGAGCCACCTCCGCCCAAAGCTTCTCGAAAAGAAACTACCTCAGGGACAACAGTTGAGCCTGTGAAGAACAGTAGCCCAGCACCACCTCAGCCTGCTCCTGTCAAGGCAGAACCTGGTCCTGGGGATGCAGTAGGTCAGTGCTGGGATGGAGCCTCTACTTCTATTAAGTTCAGTTATATAGATTTTGATGGTAGAATGCATATATGTTCATACCCTTGTGTTTTTGTCCAGTGGAATATTAGGAAAAAGATTATTGTCTTTATTTCCGAGGAGAAGATAAACTTTATTTTCTGCACATGGTTCAGAAAGTTTACAGCAGAGTATTCTCATTCTTTGAAATAAGGAATGTTGTATTTCTCCTAGATTGTGTGTGGCAGAAACCAATCAATTAAATAAGTAAATTTTAAGGTTAGTTTGCTTTTTTTTTTCCCCCTCTTTTTTCGAGACAGGGTTTCTCTGTAGCTTTGGAGCCTGTCCTGGAACTAGCTCTAGTAGACCAGGCTGGCCTCGAACTCACAGCGATCCACCAGCCTCTACCTCCCAAGTGCTGGGATTAAAGATGTGTGCCACAACCGCCCGGCCATTTTCTCTTCTTTGACCCAGTGGTTTACTGTCTCAGCCTCCAATAGATGAGATTACAATGTTATTTTCAACATTTGGTACTCGTTAGAATCATCCAGAAAACTTTAAAACTAAATATCCTCAGATCAGTGTGGTGGCAAACAACTGCAACACAGCACTGGGGAGGTGGAGTCAAGAGAATCAGAAAGTAAAGGTTATCTTTCACTACATTTGATCTTTGAGTCCAGCCCCGAGTACCAGAGATAAATAACCCTTTAATAAATGCCAAATCTCTTGGAATGTTAGGCACCTGAGTTCTTAAATGTATCCTAACAGTTTTTACATATAATATTGGTTGAAAATCACTGATCTTGAAGAATACAGATAAAATATAGTCACTTTTATATATAATTCAGACATGCTTTAGTCTTTGTATTTTATTTATTTATTGTTTTAGTTTTTATTTTGTTGGAGATTGCACATAATATATTAGGGTTCAGAGGACAACTTGTGGGAATTGCTCCACTTATGGGTCCTGGGCTTTATACAGTTGCCATACTAGGTGGCAAGTGCCTTTTACCTACTGCATCTCACCAGTCTTAAGTCCTTGAATTTTTAAACAAAAATAAAAAATAAGTTGTGATGTTAATCCAAGGTATTAAAACTATGAGACCTTCAAAATGAAGCTACATCTTTGGATATTATGCATTGCTTTTGTCAGTTGAAGAAGACAAAGGATCTTTTTTTCTTATTCATCTTATATTGACTCCACTGTCATCCTACAGGTCTTGGTGACATCACACAGCAGCTGAATCAAAGTGAATTGGCAGTCTTATTAAACCTGCTACAGAGCCAAACTGACCTGAGCATCCCTCAAATGGCACAACTACTTAATATCCACTCCAACCCAGAGATGCAGCAGCAGCTGGAAGCCTTGAATCAATCGATTAGTGCACTGACTGAAGCCAGTTCCCAGCAGCAGAACTCAGAATCCATAGCCCCAGAGGAATCATTGAAGGAGGTACCCTCTGTATCAGTGGTCATGCCTTCGGCAGAACAGACAACTCCTGAAGCTTCGAATACACCAGCTGACATGCAGAATATGTTGGCAGTTCTCTTGAGTCAGCTGATGAAAACCCAAGAGCCAGCAGGTAACCTGGAGGAAAACACCAGTGACAAGAATAGTGGGCCACAGGGGCCCCGAAGAACTCCTACAATGCCACAGGAGGAGGCAGCAGGTAAACAGACCGGTCATGAATCTCATTGAGCTCAGGTGCTGTTGATCCTCTTAAAAAAAATCTCTTAATGTTTTCTTTTTTACATCATTGGTCTCAGTTTCAGTTTCTGTAATCTAGTCTACAGGAGAACATAGCACCAAATGATGTATTTCTTGGCCAGCTTTTTCTTTTAAATATCAAAGCACCTTTCATATACTGATAATTTTTCCACTTAAGAAGGTACTGGTAAGTAAAATCCCTGTGTTCTAACCACGGAAACCAAAGCCATAGGTAGTGCGGTATCTATGTATATGGTAGCTAGCTAGTCCTAGTAAATCTGACTTTTAAATAAACATCGAAATGTTCTTTACATCTAATGCAGTGAATCCTGGATACCAGAATTTTATATGGAAGATAACAGTCAAGAAAGCCCTAATAAAATATTTCAGTTTCTGAAAATAATTGGGGAATTGTTCTAAGCAGATAACAGCTTACATTTTCTTTCCAAAAAGTAATTGTATACAAAAGTGATTATTTTTAAGTTTATGTTTCTGAAAGAAACAGTGAAATCAAGAAGTAAGCATTATGAAAAGAAAAAACAAAATCTGAAAGGGGATAAAAGTGTGTTACAACTTGTGTCACATTACCACATCCATGCAGTTTATTAGAAGGAAAAGTATTGTAAATTATCTAGTCAGTTCCGATTCACAATCTGTTTACAAATTCCATCTGAAAATGTTTTCAACTCCTTGGAAATTTTCATTGACCTTGAAGATTCCATGAATTGGGGAAAAAGAAGAGGCACAGAGACTGAAGAGGTGTAATGAACTTTAGGGTCCTGCACTTATATTTCATCTTGGTTGATACAGAAAAATATATCTTTTATTTTCACTAGGTCAAATATATAACCTGGTTTCTTTTTTTTTTTTGTATGTGAAAATTATTAAAACTGAAAGATAATAAAATTAACCTTTTGTTTTGTGAATAGGAAAGCTGCATCTTAAGAAATTTTAAGTAAGTCTGTGCTCTGCTGATTATTGGCAGATGATGCTAGAACTTGTACACTCACATGTCCTATGATGATTACAATTGTTTTTAAAGAGTAGTAGAGAAGGCTATATAATGGGACTGGAGAAGTGGCTTAGAGGTTAAGAGCACTGACTGCTCTTGCAGAGGTCCTGGGTTCAATTCCCAGCACGCATTCACTGACTCACAGCTGCTTGTAATTCCTGTTCCAGAAGATCTGATGCCTTCTTCTGACCTCCACAGGGACCAGGTACCACACATGACACACAGACATACATGCAGACAAAACACTAATGCTATAAAATAAATATTTAATACTAATATAAAGAAAAAACTATTTAGAATTAAAGTAAACTTTTTAATTTCATGTCTCAGATTCTGATCCTACCTATTATCCATCCAAAAATAAATAATTTCAACTCAATATCTGGAAGAATTTGGTCAAATTAAAGCATCCTTATAGAGAAATATTCACCAAATAACCAAGCCAACAAGCTGTCAACCACATAATGAAATTGAACTAAAAATAAATCATAGCATATAGCTATATATTGGATTAGGTTTTTAGAGCCAAGTGTAAAAATGTCATAGCTAAAGATGAATACAAATGGTGGTTGTGATGTCATACATTTTTGATCCCAGCACTCAAGAGGCAGGGAAATGTAGATTTCTGTGATTTCAAGACCAGCCTGGTCCTACATAGGAAGTTCCAGGCCAACCATTGGTCTCAAAAAAAAAGAAGAAGAAGAAGAAAAAGAAAGGAAAAAAATTGTCCACCAAACTCTGCAACTCATTATTATAGTTGTTCCTGGATTATCTAGTGCCTCTGCTGTTATGTAGCACAATCTGACCTCAAAATTTAAGATCTTCCCGCCCCATGCCAGCACACCCTGTTGCCTCATACTTGGCCGGTTCACTGTTCATTAACACTTCCACCAGAGGGCAGACTATAAATAAGAAAGGTAATGATTTTCATTTGGTAATTTAGTTTTCCTGTACTTATTAAGAAAGGGTAATGGTTGAAACTATTTTTCCATTTATTTACCTCCCTCCATTAGTATAAAATTATTATAGATTGACAACATCAACACTTTAAACCCAAAGACTATGTGATTTATAATTTATATTTTTAGTTTTATTTCTTTAAGAAGCTTTATTAACTTTAGCAGTTATTTAATTAAAGGTGGTATAACTGGAAGAATGTAAACTTAAACTGCCATTTTCACAGCCATGCCTTTTATAGTTGGTTTGGGTTTTCTTGTTGTTCCCCACCCACCCAACACCGAATTGTGAAAATTCTTGGTGTTTCATTTCGTGAATGGACTCCAAATACTTCTTTTAATGTCACTGGTACTTAGATGTTCTCTTGTCAAGATAGATAAGTAGTGTTGACAGTAAAAGGCTCTGAATATAAATACATAGTTATAGTTCAGTTACCCTATTCTTTCAAATTATTCTTCAAATTGTAAATTTTAAGTAGCCGATTTTTTTTCTGCCGTAAATTATTTTTTACCTAGTACTCAGATAACCAGCCAATCAACAAGTAACTTGGAGTTACATATTATAAAGTGTTCAGAACTGAAAGCTGATTCCTTGCCTCCTCTTCTGTCCACTTGTGCCACCAAACCCAGAAGCTCTAGACTGTTTACCCTATTTGTTGTTTCATATAGCACATGGCCTTTTCCACTGCAGTGTTAAAATTGTATATTGTTTTTTAGAGTACTTTCATGTGCATACTTGGAGTGTGGAAACTTAGTTACTATCTTTACAAAGTATGTGCTAGATAATTATACTACAGAAATATCAAATTGTAACCAAAAACTGATTTGGACTTGTCTAAGTATGGACATTACATCACTAACTAACAAAATAGAAGAATGATCATAGAGATGTTTTTAAATGTTTCCATAGGAAAAAGAAAAATTTGTCATTTGAAAGATAAAACCAAAACATTAAACCTTTTCTTTAGCAGGTTGACTCTCAAATCTTTGAAGGCATTTTGTCTCAGTAGTTTTGTGTGGCCTCAAACTCATGCCATTTAACTCTCATCTCTTGCTTTGGTAAGAAGTCATTTTGCGCAAATTTAGGCAGCAGTAAAAAGCAAAATTTTGGACATGTTTCAACAAAGAGATCTTAGTTATAATTGAGTGTAGTATTAGGTCAGTATTATTTCTGGATAGTAAATTCTTAACGCAGGATGAACATGTTTTATCACCGGTTTAGTTCTGCATAACACTGCTGGAGTGATTTTTCTTTTTCGTAGAATAAAAAGCATGTAGAAGATTAGAAAATAAAATAGAAAATTACAATAGGCTTACTTTGGTCTTTGCAATTGTTAATAGTCTTCCTGAATAACGGTGTAGTTGGTTAATATCCAACTTGAAGATATGGTTATGGGGAGATATGACTAAAGTTTGTTGAAGTGAAATGACTTTTTATACTTATCACGTTTTTTCTTGATTGCTTCTCTCCTGCATATTCTTTTAAGTTGTATTTCAGGTTAGTCTTATATCATCGAATGTTGTGTAAATGTGTTAGCCAGGTCTGTAGGTTATACAGAAGGATTATGTCCTAGAAATGTGATGACAACATGTATATTGTTCCTTCTCGTCTTCCTTCTTTATACTTTATTTTCAAAAATGTTTTGATTTAACAGCAGAAGGGATGGAGAGGTTGCCAACAATCTGAACGGCTTTTTAAGGAATGAAATCTCAGACAAAAAAAAAATTCAGGAGAGTCATTTGAAACGTAATATCTTTTATACCAGCTATTAGATCCAGAATACAACTGTTTTACTTCTAATCACTTGATTATTTTATTTATAAATTTCAGTTTCCTGATCCCAAGATTTTATTTAATGAATCTGGTTACTTGTATTGGTATTTATCTATGTTGGGTAGTATGTGTTTGTGTTTATAATCACATGTGATTTTTAAGATGGTGTTTAAAAGAAGTAACCCTTCCACAGCATGTCCTCCTCACATTCTTCCACCAGAGAAGAGGCCCCCTGAGCCCCCTGGACCTCCACCGCCGCCACCTCCACCCCCTCTGGTTGAAGGCGATCTTTCCAGCGCCCCCCAGGAGTTGAATCCCGCCGTGACAGCCGCCTTGCTGCAACTTTTATCCCAGCCTGAAGCAGAGCCTCCTGGCCACCTGCCACATGAGCACCAGGCCTTGAGACCAATGGAGTACTCCACCCGATCCCATCCAAACAGGACTTATGGAAACACTGATGGGCCTGAAGCAGGTTTCAGTGCCGCTGACACTGATGATCGCAGTTCTGGTCCAGCCTTGACAGAATCTTTGGTCCAGACCCTGGTGAAGAACAGGACCTTTTCAGGCTCTGTGAGCCACCTTGGGGAGTCCAGCAGTTACCAGGGCACAGGGTCAGTGCAGTTCCCAGGGGACCAGGACCTTCGTTTTGCCAGGGTACCCTTAGCATTACACTCAGTGGTTGGGCAACCATTCCTGAAGTCTGAGGGAAATGGCAACTCTGTGGTACATACAGAGACCAAATTGCAAAACTATGGGGAGCTGGGTCCAGGAGCCACTGGGGCCAACAGCTCAGGAACAACTCTTCAGTGGGGGGGCCCAGCTCAGTCTTCTGCTTATGGAAAACTCTACCGGGGGGCTGCAAGAGTCCCACCTCGAGGGGGAAGAGGGAGAGGAGTTCCTTATTAACCCAGAGACATTATTTCCTTTAAAAGTTCCTTCCCCATCCCTCTTTCCATCTAGTCCTCTGAACCTTTAATCTTTTGCTAGAGCAAGGTAATTATCTGTATTTGGCCACTGCAACGATGTCCATTGTTTTCCTTGCTCACTTGCTACTAGCAGGCGACTCAATGATCTTGGCACCAGTTCCTCCTGGATGGGCAATAGCCAGAATATTTACCTCTGCTTTATGTAGGAGCTATAGTAGAAAATATGGAGAAAAAGAGACATTTGGTTGAAAAGTAATTGTTGCATTAGCTTATTGCCTGCCCTTGGGCAGAAGAGAGAGGACAGTTTTGTTTTGAGATGACTCTGGAGAGGCTTTGGGTTTCAAAATTATTTTTGTTTTGTTTTTGTTTTTTCTCTCTGTATGTGTGTGTGTGTTTGTGTGTGGTTTCTTTTGAATTTTTATTTAGTTCCCCACCCCACCTTTGAGGAGAATAGTGTTCACAAGATCTGAGCTCTTAGGCTTTTGCTAGAAGGGAAACAGTGGCTTCGATGTTTCCTTTCTCTCAACCATCTCCCATTTTTGCTTCAGTTGAGCATCTTGTACATACCTTTTTCAAATAAATTACTCATCCTTAAATTTGCTCAATTTTGACAATTTTGCCCTCTTCCTGCACTTAAAGCAGTCTGAGGAAAGTGGCATTCTTGGGCAAGAAGGGAGACTTTACCCAATTTTTGCTTTTTGCTTCACTTTTTTCTCCTCCTTTCCCCTCGCCTTTTTGTCCCTCTCTTTTTCCTTCCACTATGTTCCTGCCCCTATTCCTTTATCTTTTTTAGGCATTTGTTTGATAGAAAACGTAGTAGATAGTAGAGATGCCCAAGAACCTGGAATGATTCTTTTCTTTCTTTTTTCTTTTTCTTTTTTAAATAAAGGAAAGGAAATTCAAACTCCTACATTGTTCTCTGTAACTCTTCAATTCTAAAATTTTTGTTTTGTTTTTTAAGCCATGTTATGATGGGGAGGTTGATTTGTAAACGATAGTATATTGCTGCTGAACTGGTGGTTAGAGATGGTACCTCCATACCTAGAAGGATAATAAGATCAATAAGCATGTTGTTTACATGTATATTTTTATGTTTTTTTTTTAAAGCCTTTCAAACAGAGCCTTGTGATATTGTCAGAGAAAATCCTGGAAATACATGGATATATAACCTAGCTTAGGGTGTATATCTGAAGATATATCGATTTCTGATACTTTTAAAGAAAACGCTTTAAGCAGCTTACCATGAGAACAGTATTGATAAGTATACATCACAGCATGTATAGCCTACCATTTCTTATAGGGAACATTTTGATTGTGGTAAAGGGTATAAAGTATGATTTCCTGACAAGAACCTTGCCTTATCAAAACAAAACATGGAAGAGAGAAAGGATCTCAGTGAGATTACTTGAGAGGCTTCTCATTATGGCTTCCATTTTTTCCATCAGCATCTGGAGTATTTTAAAAACATATATGTCATATATTGATCTGCACAGACTTGGGAGTTTGTGAACTGTAGGTTAAGCTCCCTTTTACAGAGAAAAGCAAACATACTTGAGCATCTTGGAGAATAGTTTTCAGAATTCAAGTGAAATTTCATGTTTCAATACCAAGTTCTTAAGTTAAAAAAATATATTTAGAAAGATGTATTAATTTTAAAAAATTTAAAGTGGTGAAAGAACTCTCTTCAGATACATAAAAGCTATTTTCCCCTGTTACTGAAATAAATGCCAGTGTGTATATTTCTTTATTTTCTGTGTTTTGGTATGGCTTTGCCACAGGGCCAAACACTAATAGTAAGTGAACCTTCTAGCCATTTGGCTTTGATAGCTTTTTTATGCCAGGATGTCTGGTTAGATATCCTAGGAATACTGAGATATGCTATCCATAGATTGCATTAAAGTTTTATCTGTACCTTCAGTTTGCTACTAGTTAGTCCTCAGACACGGGCCTTATTTTAGGATATTTTATTATAAGGTGTTGAACCCCAGTTTCATTAAAGAAACTGAGCAGGGATACTTTCTAAAGTATCTGTTCAGTGAAAAAAAATTGTTTTCCCATCAAATATGAATAAATTTCTCTATATATTTTCATTGTATTTTGGTTATAGATAGTCATCAATAATGTTTTCCCTTCCCGTCTGCCACTATATTTTTAATTATGCCAAATAGTCTAAATAATTTACGTAAACTTCCATTTCCCCATCCCTGCTAGGGAAGGGGGTGAGTATGTGAATGTGTGTTTATGTATGTATGATCCCATTTCACCCCCACCTCATTTTGGGAGTGTAACCTATAAAAAATATTTTTTTATAATAATTTTGACTACTTCTGAAAGCAAAGGAAAATAACTCATTTAAATATTCTGAAATCTATGGAGGAAGAAAAGGTATTTGGTCATTTTTCAGCTACACTATATATTAACATAATGAAAGTAAAAATTTGGCTTAATTTTCAGCCCAACTGGTTAAAAAGTAGAAACCTAGTTAATTCCATTCAAAAGTGGTTTGGGTTTTAACTATTGTAGCATTATTAAACACATTATTTTGAACAGACAAGAAATCTGATTTTGTTCATGAATAAGAGACAAAACTGGCTTGACCATGATCATTTTTTGTATATGGTTTTAAAAGCACATTTGCTTAACCCAGTTTCCTTATTTTTTCTATCTCTCTATATGAATAAGGATTCACAAATGACATAAGAAATATGTATTTAAAACAGGGCAATTAGCACAAGTTTGTATGTAGTACTCTTGTTAGCTTATGCCATAATCACCATCCAACACGTGTATGTGTGTATGTGTGTGTGTCTAATATGCGTATATAGGTACAGTGCTAAAGTGGTTACCAGCAGGTTTTGAGAGAGAATGGTGCATTGGAAAAGTGTCAGTTGCCACCTCATTCTCCCTGATTTATAGGTTCCTGACACTGTATTCCTTTCTCTCTCTTTGTTTTTGACCCCCATTGGGTGTACCTTGTCTATGTACAGATATTTTGTAATATATTAAATTTTTTCTTTCAGTTTATAAAGATGGAAAGTGGAGATTGGAAAATTAAATATTTCCTGTTAATATACCACTTTTGCTCCATTGCATTTACTTCTAATTTCTGTACCCTTTGAGCATATCTAATCATATATGAAGGACATTTTTTCCTTTATGTTATGGGTTCTCAATTTCGGAAGACTCATAAACTACCAGAACAAAAGAAAAATTCTCAGGGTTTGAAGAGGTACTTGAGAGTACTAGAGTAGAAACTAAAGAATTAAAAATTGAGTTAAGGGAATCCGTAAGAACATGATTTTAAAAAGAAAAAAGTAGAAAATGGATGGTAGTATGAAGCCATCAAGAGTTGAGCTTCATGTACCCTGACTGACTCCTCCTGGCAGGAGAGGTAAGTGGGTTTGAGCTCAACAGTCATCAAAAGAAGCTGGTAAGAAGCTGTTTAGACCTAAAGGATACTCTGAAACCAGGATCTCCACCATTTCACCCAGTCTGGTTTCCACAGTCTTATAGAAGAGGATCAGCATGGGGGGGTTAATGTATCCAGCAACCTTTGAGATTTCCTAACAGCAGTAAGCCAAGAAATGAATCAGAGCTGTTTGAAAGTTATAGTCTATATTATTCTTAAGATCTTTCCCAACTCTACCAGAGAGGAAAATTGTTTTAGTTCTGCTTATAATTTAAAATACTAAGAATTCTTGACCATATGTGCTGCAGTCTAGCTAGAAAAACAAATAAAATCTATCAGGAGAAAGGAAGAGCAAAAAAATATCTGAACTTTGTATGTGGGATGAGCAAGTCTTAGAAGTGTAAATGGCACCCAGGCCATGGAAAATGAAGGATTAAAAGCTGCTGCTGAGGATTGCTGACTTGAGCTAAATTTCTCTGTTTTTGGTATCCTTTGCCTAAGGCAAAATCAAACTCTTTTTGACCCTGAAGGAGAATGGAGAGGTCAAGATTTTTCCAATTCCAAGAATTTTGTTAGTAGTCTCTGCAGAGACAGTGACTTGGTTTTAGGTCATTGCATGTCTGCTTTATAATAGTGGCTGTCTTGATTCTGTGCCTAAAGACAGAGGACCAGCCTGTACCTTTTTCTCTTCGTGCACAAAACCATTCCATGTAGAAAGCCTTTTCAATGCCCAAATATCTTTAGCACTCCTCTCCCAGATACACACCCTTAATTTTAAAAAGACTAGTGCCTATAGTAAGTTAACACTTTTTCATTGTAAACTAGGGGTTTTTTTTATTTAAAAATTGTCCAACTCCCCCTCATTGGATTTTATAAATTTACTGAGTGACTTTTCACAGTTTAATAATTCTGAAGGGCTAGGTGGAATGAGAATGAGGTTTTCCTTAGTGAAGAAATAGCCTACCACTTCAAGGAGAGACAGTCTGCTGAGTATTTTAGTTGGCCTGAGAGGTAAGGTGAGCATTCCTGGACACTAATTGATTCTGTTGTCTGGCTTGGTTTTCTCATATGTGGGAACACCTCCCAAGTGTTCTACAGCCTTGGGCTACTCAAGTAGGGGATTCCTCCAGCCGACGTTGGAAGATAACCTTTGGGAATCATTGGTGCTATCTGTCCTACCCCTCCTCACTGGGTAGCTGTCATCCTATCTACCTCCTTCCTTTCCTTTTCTTGGTTCCTCTCCTTACCTTTTTTTCTGTCCCACTCAGGATCCTAC